TTCCTTTACAATATCATATTATAGTAAAAATGAAAGAATTTTCAAAACAATTGAAATATAAAAAATAACTTCAAATTTTTTTAGGTCTTTTTAATTATGGAAGACAATTCATTAAAAGTCTCTCTAAAAAAGAAAGTTTTACAAGAAAAGCTAAAAAATGATATACTTTTTGCTTGGACAAAAGATAATTTTGATATTAAGTAACATTGGGGATGTGTACTTAAATCAAATATAAATAATCAAGAATTAATTTGTAGTTATAATTTAAGAAAATTTAAACTAAACAAATTAAAATATATTATATTTGAAAAAGAATTGCTTGCTATAAAAAATGCTATAATTAGATTTTATATTTATCTAGCACCTGAAAACTTTATTATTAGAACGGATAATCAAGCAGTTAAAGATTTCTTAAAAAATAAAAAGTTAGAAACTAATCTTAAAAGGCTTAGATGGTATAACTTTTTATGTCAATATAATTTTTTTATTAAATTTATTAAAGGATCTAACAATGTTCTTGTTGATTTTTTAAGCAGGCCCAATGGATCGAGGTAAAAAAACCTCTAGAACAAATTGGTGAATGGACTACTGTCAAAAAGAATCAACCCAATCAAGGTTCTTCTCTTAAACATGTTAATCTTAACCAAGGATTAAGATTTCAATCCCCTACCCAACCATTAGTTCCTTATCCTAATCCAGGATTTTTTTTTTATCCATAATCATACATGGAAATATTAGGAATTTCATCACAACAAGTAATGGAACCCTATAAATTATCTCAATTTTCTCATGATCTAAATCAATGAACTCCAATGTCATATTCTGGAAATTTTCAAAAAACAAAAAATTTGTTGAAATCACAACAAAATTTTCCAAAAATCAAAGATTTTTTATAACCCAAGATTATCCCTTGAGTTATATAATCTCATAAATGAAGTTTGAAAAGCCCAACTTCAAGGTAGTAAATCAACTTTTAGAAACAATATGACTAAGCTTACGAAAGGATTAACAAAGAAGTTAATAAATTTTAAAATTTTCAAAATCTTGTTTTAAATGGCTTAATTTTAAAAGATTGGGATGAACCACAAAATTTTAAACTTGATGAAAAAGAATACTTTTTTGAAGAGATAAACAATCTTTTAAATATTTGTGATTTTCTTATAGAAGAAAAAACTATTTTTTCTTCTCTTTTAAAAATTTAAAAATTCTTTTATATGAAAAAGTTAACAAAGTCTTATCCAATAAACTTTTGAATAGAACAAAAAATTCAATAAGACATGAAGTACATCTACTTCATGAAAGATTTCATAAATATTTTCCTTTTATTTATTTAGAAAATCATGGAATTTCAAAAGGATTTCCTAAAACTAAATTCAAATTAGATCATGACCCTTATGATATAATTAACATGGGTTTTATAGGAATAATTACTTTTTAAACTTTATTTTTCATTTAATAAGGCATTTTCCTGCCTTTATCAAATAAAAAAAATTATTTTGTTAAAAATAATGAATATTTTTCTTATACGCATATTAAAATAATTAGTTTAATGCGACTTTTAAAAAGAGATTTTTTGACCATATCAAATTTAGGAGGTTAAAAAGTTCTTTTTATACTAGACTTATTGGCACCAAATGAAAATGAAAAAAAAAATTTAAATTTGCTCTTTCACAATTTAATAAAGCAAGTTTATATGGTTTTCAAGCTAGACTTACCATGATAGAAAAGGCAAAAGAATTATTAAATGAAATTCCACCAAATTTATAAGCTCTTTATATCACTGCTACAACAAATGGTAAAAGAATCTTTGTGAAAAAATTTTATGATGAAAACAATCCAAAATTGTAGACTCAGGTGGTTGATCTTTTAGAAAAACTGTCTAGAATGAAAAACCTGGATTACTCACTTTCTTTGCTACTCTAGTATCAAGAAAGATGGGAACAATAGAACAAGTCAAGAATAGCTTCACCAGTTTCTTTTAATTCAAAAGATGAAGAAGTTATAAATCTGGTAAACTTCAAGAGGGATAAAAGACAACAAGTCAATATTTACTAGACTACCAAACAGCCAGTCTACCATCAAACCAATTACGGATAAAAAGATCAACATTTGTTGCTAAAAAGGTGTATATGTATTGCTAGTTGATAAACAATTGTCACTATCTCCTTTTATAATTGTCAAAGTTCAAGTATACCTAATTCAATAAATGGTATCTAACCTAATAAATGGACAATGACCATTGTATGAAAGGATAAAAGGAGATATGGAGGCTTAGAGAAAAAACATACTCTCATCCCCTCTTTCTCTAATCATCTTCTTCTCTTTTGTATATCTTCCTCACATTTTGATATTTCTTTTTGCTTCTCACCTTTATTTTCTTCATTTGAGCTACTTTCATTTTTGTTCTCTTTTCATTTTGCGTTTCGTGTAATACTTTTGTTAAAATGTGATGGCTTTTTTTTTTTTTTTGGCGACAAATAGTGGAGGAATAGCAGCTTCAACAAAAGAAGTCTGATCATGTTATCACTTTTAACTTTGTATTTTTAAATATATGCATTGTTAATCCTTTGTTTTACACTTGCTAGAGTTTAATTGTAATAAAACTGGCCTATATGGATGATTATGTTCGATGCTGAATTTTAATTCGATAATAGTAAGAAGACCTTAGAATATCTCAACTGTTGTCAAATTATGATGTAACAAAACTACATATATTCCGACAGTGGGAAAACTTTTTTATTTCTACTGCTGTAAACAATGAGAATCTTCTAAGTTTATATCATGGCGTTCATTGCACTTTTATAACAGCAAAAAGAGACACCAAGGTCCTTTGCACGTTAGAAATGTGATGCTGAAGTCATCGAGAAACTAGAAACGCTTACATAACCCCACTGTAGATGTTTTCACTATGCAAAATCAAATTCATTTCAGCAAAAGTGAAAAGCATCTGAAAAATATCACGCCTAAGACATCATTATAATTACATACCAATATAATTTTCAGTTCCTCTTAATATTCTAAAGATGTCCCGTCTAGAACATCAGATATTCCATAAGCAAAGAAAAAGCAGAACTCAAATTAAACTTCCAGCAAGTTCATTTCCTACTTTCTTATCTCCTCTAATAAAAGTTTATTTCCTACTTTCTTAACACAAAGGGCATATGAAAGAAGCAAGTTCATTTCCTACTTTCTGCTACCAGTAAGTTCATTTCTTACTTTCTTATTGTAAATTCAAGGGTTATGCCTATTAAAGAAATGCCTTTAAATTCTTATTGTACTTGTTGTATATAAGTAACTGTTCCTTTTTTTTGCACATGGAATATTCTATGATAGTTTATTATTTTTTATGGCTTTTCTATTAAGGTGGTTTAGCATGGAATTGGTTCTGATTTGGCTTAGTGAACGAGTATTCATACATGTGGAAATGGCAATATTTGTGCAAAGTAACAAAAGTTGCAGGTTTTGTTTATTTTATTATTTTGTTTGATGACTAATTTCTTTTATCATTTGCTTTTAGAATTTGAAAAGCATTTTAGATTTAAATATCTAATAGTTCAAGGCATCTACATTGATAGAATTTAACACAAGCTACTTGGGAATTGTGAACTTGAATAATCCTTCAGGGATTTTGAAAGATCCTGCTTTCTTTTTCCCCCGATCTCTCACTACTGGATTTCTTATGTTGTTTATGGAAGCAAAACGTTGATGAACTGAATGAGGTTCATGTACTTTTTCAATTTTTGGATTTTCATTGACTTTAAATGCTTTTGTATTCATGATTTTATGTGTTTGGCACTTTAATCAAATACTCGATAATGATATGGTGGTTGCATGATGAAGAATTTTTAGTTGATTCGTCATTGGTATCTTCTTTTTTTTTTTTCTTTTGCACTTTCTATCCCAACGGATTAATCAGTAAGCAAACAGGTGAATGTTCATACTATGGTTTTATAGTATTCTTTTTTCTGGATTTCTTCTATTTAAACATAATTTATTGTTTAAAATATGTTCTTATTAATTGATATTTTGCATTTGATTATTCATGATAAATGTAGATTAGGAAAGAATTAACAAAGGCAAGTCACTATTACTAAAAAGTCCTTTTAGTTGTTAAAATTTGAGCTTATGTTGATTCTCAATGCACCCTAACAACATGTTTTGCATTTTTAAATAGAAAGGAAATAAAGAGAAATGAAATATAAAGTTAAAAGAAAAATAATTGAAAGGCGTTCGCTATACCTGTGAAAGGATAAATAATTTTGTGTCACAAAAATATACTTATAATGATAATTTAATCGTAAAAAAATTTAAATCATTACAATTATTAATATGTAATAAGTAATTTTGATGTATTAATATGTATTATTATTAATATATTAATGATTAATAATATATACTATGTCATAGTTGATTTTAACTTCATAGTTGCTTTTTATCGACTATGTCATTTTAAAAATTGTATTTTGAATTGTAAAACAAGCTTATATTAATGAATTTAAAAAAAATTGTAAAACTATTTTTATTGAAATATTTTAATAAATATTCTTTAATTGTTTTAAAATTAAAAGCATGATGATAAATTTACCCCAAAATTAGAAGTATGATGGTAAATTTATGCAATTGAAAGATTAAAGGTAAACTTGAAGCACTCACATAAAAATAATAGTAAATTTGCACATTATCTTTTTTTTTTAAATATATATAACTATATTGATTTCTAATTATTAAGAGTTAATTTTAAAATTTTTTATACATATTATTTTACTCATATATTTGTGCTTAATTTTTTTGATGATTTTAAATTTTTTTTTTTTTTACATTAACTTGATATGTTTAAGATTTTATTTTTGAAATACTTCTTATAAGAATTGGATCTGAATTAACAAAAAAAAAAAATTTATAAAAGAATTAAGATTATAAATTTTCTTATTAAGAGTAAATAAAATAAATAATTTTTTCCCTCCACATGCTGCAGCTATTTATAGCATACAGATAACCATTATCCTAATCATGTCTTTTTGAAAGACATAATCCATATCTGTTTGAAGTATGGCTCTGGTGGCACACCCGCTATCAACCTCCCTCCACCGCCATCACTACCATCAGCGACCTCCTCTTATCACTAGAAAGACAATCTCTCCACGCCTAAAATCATCCCTTTCTCAAACTATCTCACTTCCTCTAACCAACACGTCAACTAAGTACCAACTCCCTCTCCTCGAACAACTAAACAGTCTTTGCCAATCGAAACAAAACCTCACTCAAGCTTTAACTCTTTTACAACAACGAAATTCCTATGAAACTCTTGATTCTTTACAACAGAAAGAAGCCATGGGCTTATTATTACAAGCCTGTGGCCGCCACCAAGACATCGAAACAGGTCGACTAGTTCACCAGATGGTGACTTCGTGGAGCCAGTTTCATAACGACGTCGTTCTCAACACCCGTCTCATCACAATGTACTCAATGTGCGGGTCCCCTTTAGATTCTCGCTTAGTTTTTGATGGATTAAGAAAGAAGAATTTGTTTCAGTGGAATGCAATGGTTAGTGGGTATTCAAGAAACCAGCTTTATGAAGAAGCAATGAGGACTTTTATTGAGTTGGTTTCGGAAACGGAGTTCAAGCCTGATAATTTCACTTTCCCTTGCGTGATTAAGGCTTGTGGAGGGATTTTGGATGCGGGATTAGGACAGGGAGTTCATGGGATGGCTGTGAAGTTGGGTTTACTCGGAGATGTCTTTGTTTGTAATGCTTTAATAGCTTTTTATGGGAAATGTGGAATTGTTAATGAGGCGGTTAAAGTGTTTGATTTTATGTCCGAAAAGAACTTGATTTCTTGGAATTCGATGATATGTGTGTGTTCTGAGAATGGTTTTTCTCAGGAGAGTTTTGGTTTGTTTAGGAAGATGATAGAATGTGAAGCAAGTCTGGTTCCGGATGTGGCTAGTTTGGTGACTATATTGCCAGTGTGTGCAGGGGAAGGAGATGTAGAAATGGGGATGGTTTTTCATGGTTTGGCTGTGAAATTGGGATTGAATCAGGAACTAACGGTGAACAATGCCTTGATTGATATGTATTCGAAATGTGGGTGGTTGTCTCATGCCAAAAGCTTGTTTAATAAGGATGATAATAAAAATGTGGTTTCTTGGAATACAATGATAGGAGGCTTTTCATCGGAAGGTGATGCTAGTGGGACATTTGATCTTCTACGGAAAATGCAGGTGGAAGAGGGGGAAAAGGCCAATGAAGTTACCATATTGAATGTGCTGCCTGTTTGTTTGGAAAAGTCTGAATTGCTTTGCGTGAAGGAACTTCATGGTTATTCAATTAGGCATGGTTTTCAATATGATGAATTGGTAGCTAATGCATTTGTTGCAGCCTATGCAAAATGTGGGTTATTGTGCTTTGCTCAACGTTCATTTAATGGTATGGAGAGTAGGACTGTAAGCTCTTGGAATGCACTAATTGGTGGCTACGCACAGAATGGTGCTCCTATGAAAGCTTTAGAGTTTTACCTTCAAATGGCAAATTCTGGCGTAGAACCAGACAGCTTCAGCATAGGAAGCCTACTTTTGGCCTGTAGTCATCTGAAATCTCTGCACTTTGGCAAAGAGGTTCATGGGTATTTGCTACGAAATGGATTAGAAACTGATCCATTTATTGTTATCTCACTATTATCACTTTATATTCATTGTGGCAAATCAGCTACTGCAAGAGTGTTGTTTGAGGAGATGGAAGACAAAAGTTTAGTATCTTGGAATGCACTTATTGCCGGCTATTCACAGAATGGACTTCCTGATGAAGCTTTAGTTCTCTTCCGTCAAATGCTTTCAGATGGAATTCAACCTGATGAAATTTCCATAAACAGCATATTTGGGGCATGTTCACAGCTATCGGCTTTGCGGCTTGGAAAAGAAGCTCATTGTTATGCTTTGAAAGCCTTCCTAGCAGAAGACATATTTGTCGGTTGTTCAATAATAGATATGTATGCGAAAAGTGGCTGCATACAACAATCTCGAAGTGTTTTTGACAAATTGAGGGACAAAGATGTGGCATCATGGAATGCTGTAATTGTAGGATATGGACTTCATGGATGTGGAAAAGAAGCGCTGGAGCTATTTGAAAAGATGCAAACATTTGGTCAGAAGCCTGATGCTTTCACTTTTGTTGGTTTATTAACGGCATGCAACCATTCTGGGCTGGTAGAAGAGGGATTAAAGTATTTCAACCAGATGCAGAATTTCCGTGGCTTGACACCAAAATTGGAGCATTATGCATGTGTTGTGGATATGTTGGGTCGTGCCGGACGACTGGATGAATCTTTGAGACTCATAAATGAAATGCATGAGGAACCAGATGCTGGAATCTGGAGTTCATTACTCAGTTCCTGTAAAACTTATAGTGCACTGGATATTGGAAGGAAAGTTGCTGAAAAGTTGTTCGAATTGGAGCCTAACAAAGCAGAGAATTATGTTCTACTCTCTAATTTATTTGCTGGATCAGGGAAGTGGAATGATGTGAGAAGAGTGCGGGAAAGGATGAAGGAGATTGGCCTTCAAAAGGATGCTGGTCGTAGTTGGATCGAACTGGGAGGGAAAGTTTATAGCTTTTTAGCTGGAAATAATTCATTTACTGGCTCTAAAGAAATCCAGAATATGTGGAGAAGATTAGAGGAAAAGATATGTAAAATTGGATATAAACCCAATACAGATTCTGTGCTTCATGAATTAGGCGAAGATGAGAAGATTGAAGTATTGAGGGGCCATAGTGAAAAGCTTGCCATTTCTCTTGGGTTGTTGAGGAAGTAAAGGTGAAACACTAAGAGTCAACAAGAACTTGCGTATTTGTGTGGATTGTCACAATGCTGCTAAGCTGATATCAAAGGCAGTTGAAAGAGAGATAGTTGTTCGTGACAACAAGCGTTTTCATCATTTTAGAAACGGGTTTTGTTCTTGCGGGGATTATTGGTAGTAACAAGGAAGAAGTATTGGCAATTCCTTTCACAATCAGTAGAATGGAAAGAGAAGTTCTTGGAGCATGAAGAAGTAACTAGAGGTGTACATGTAATTGCTTCTGCTTGTTATTAGCTCCAAGAAGTGGAGAAGCTGGGGTACAAAGGATTAAATGACTAATGTTTTTTATTGCCTTGGTATGGTTGATTGTTTCTTTTTAATCTAATTTTTAGTATTGCCTGATTGCCATACCAAGTAATCTGTTGCAGTTTCTGTTGAAGGGCTCACTTCAGCTGCTAACAAAAGTAGCAGAGGTTTGGCCATTAGTTGCAATTGTGTTGTTTGTGGGAATCAGAGGAATCTGAGTTGCATGCTTTAAGTAGTTGCCATTGGCATCAGAGGTTTGATCTCAAGTTTTGCCTCCTCAGTGCCTCCATTTTAGTGCTAACTCTTTCATTGGTGGGGGTCCTCTTGATTGTCAGCAGTGTGTGTGAAAATGGCTGTGGTATTTCACTATTTTGGCTATAATAAGGCAATAGAAACAGAATTTTGTTAAAGATTAATGTTGATGGTGCTGTAGGTGAGAGTGAATCAGGGGCTGATGTGATTCTCAAAGGCAAATCTTGAATATATATATATTATATATATATATATTTATATATATAGTACTTGAAATGAAATATGTATTCCATGCTACTGCCCAAATCGTATGCCCAGTGTCACGGTCCACGCGTTCCCCCTACTGAAATCGCGCGACCGTGCGGGACCAAGACTACTCTTAGTCAAGGTCAGCCTTCACCATGGCCATTTTTCTTCGCGGACTGCCCAAATCCGATCCTTCAAGCCGCATGCCCACGAGCCTTTTCTGGCTTTTGGCCCCGTAAGGTTATTTATCCCGAACTCTATAGAGAGGAACCCATCTCTCATCGCGTATCGGCCCACGGTTCTCCAAGTGACCATGAGCACCTAGCTCTGGCCGCAAGGCTTAATGCTTCGAGCCCCGACCCTCGAATCTCGTAGGGGCACACAGCCCCGGTTCTCTTGATGTTATTACATCTTGGCATGGTGAGAACCCAACACCACGCCCGCACGTATGATACGCAAGCTCCCGTATCAAGTTTACGCAAGCATTCCCTTTACGCTGGTCAGCAGCCAGCTCGGAGCCTCTAGGCACAACTCGTCCCACGGGACTCGGTTCTTAGGGCTTACGCCCTTAGCTTCAGTATTGGCCGCCCGCACGCATGATTGACATCCAACATCATGCTAGTCCTGCAAGGGGACTCAGGTGGACTGCCTCAGTTGCAGCACACCAGCTGCCCGACTGGCCATTGGGGCCTAGCAGCGTGCCTGCCTGCTAGCCCGCGCATCCTCTCGGCTCGATGGCATCCCTCCTACATGAATACCATCACGTGGTCCAGTCCCGCAAAGGTCCTTGGGTGGACTGCCCTAGCTACAGCCCACCAGCCCGACTGGCCACAGGGGTCTAGCAGCGTGCCCGCTAGCTAGCCCGCGCATCCCTTTGGCTCGATGGTATCCCTCCTACGTAAACACCATCACCTGATCCTTTCGGCTCGAGGAGGGGAAACCGAGGGGCCTAACGGTCTCTACCGTCCAACCCTATGGTTCAACTCAAAGGCGCGATACGAGGCCCGCCGGCCCCAACCGCCCCCGGGTTTACCTTACCCGAGGAAACATCGTGCCACGCTCGTGACCCTACGATGTCCGCCCACCTAGACACCACGAGTGCCTAGGAGTAGCTCACTTCAGACTAGCCAGGCCCCCGCCTGCCCGCTAGCCAAGGGGGTGGTGGAGAGCTGACACCAGTCGTCCCCCTATAAAGAGCGTTAGAGATTTTCCCAATATGCTACCAGTGACCGTAAGAATGTCTGAAACGGGGACACTTTTCTGTCCAGCCACCTCAGGGCCTTTCTCCGGCTAACTCAGGGCCTCGTAACCTTTCTCTTGGTCACCCTTGCTCCTTGATTATGCTCGTTGCTCCACCAACCCACTCGAAGGTGCCCGCACATGGCTTAGACCGACAGCACCTGACTGGTTAGCTTGTCCCAGGGCACTGGCGTACTGCCTTATACTTACCTGCATATCTCAGGGTTCAGGACATGGACCGTCCACACACAATGTCCCTAACCTATTCCCATGCTCGAAACGCCCGCACACTGCTTCCACAGATGGCACCCGCCAGGCTACTTGGCTCGAGGGTGTCCAACCACTGTCCCAAACTTCCCCACGTATCTTGTGGCCTAGGGCTCCCATTGCCCCCACAACATGTTAGCATCATGTTCCCGAGCTCCGAATGCACGCCCGCATTCCTTAGAACCGCTTTCCCGCCAGCTCGGTCTCAACCGCTGCCCGGTTCAGGGTCAGTCATGGCAGGACCAGGGCCTGACCATGACACCGAACCTGCTTTAGGTTTTTTTTTTTTCAAGAGAGCAACTTGAACCCTGTACATTAAAGAAAAGATTGCAACAAAAAAAAATATAAATATTAAGATTCAAGTTTTAAATTTAGTAAATATTATTAAGAGTGATTAAATGAATAAATTGAATTAAATATTAGATTTATTAAATAAAATTTGTTATTTTTTTATTATTGAATTTAAATTTTATCATTGTATTTTTATTTTTTTAATAATTTATATTCAAGATGAAATTTATTTTTTGTATTGAAAATTATGTTTTATTATTTGATATAAAAAACTATTTTAATGTTAATATTAAATACAAAATTAAAAATTTTTTCTTAAATTATGTGAAATTTAAAGGGACTAATAATTTGAGGCTAAGAGAATTATTTTATTCACTAGAATGTTATCCTTGCTTTATATAGGGATTTTTTTTTAATTTTTATAAAAAATAATTTAAGATTTTTTAATTTTTTTAGTTTTAAATTTTTTAAATTAAAAAACAAGAATTTGAAAATCTTGTATCTAGAGTTTTTTTATATGGTTATTTGTACTGATTGGTTTTTGTTAATTTTTTTGTAATTCATTAAAATTCTCAAATCTAATATTTTTAGTTTTTTAATTATATATTTTTTGTTTTTAAAGATATTTTTAAAAAAATATTTAAATTTTAGATCTAATAATTTCTAAAAAAATTTATTATTTTTTGTGAGATCTTTTAATTGATTTCCATATAGGTTATTTTTTGCAATTTGATTATTTTTAGTAGTAATTTTTTTTTTGGTCTTAATAAGTTATTGAAATTTAATATATTGGTTAATTTTAAGAGTTTGAAATTTTATTTTTTCTTTGATAAGTTAGACATATTTTTATGAATTTTTTTATTATCTAGATATTTATTTTTTCTTTACAAAAGCATTTGAGGATATTATAATTACCAACAACACATCATCGTCCCTATAATCAACTCTTATCATATTTTTTTATTATAATTATAATTAATCCAATAATTTTTTGAAATTTTTTTTATTTTATAAATTTTCATATGGTAAATCAAGGCTCGTCGCATGTGAAGATACTAATTATTAAAAGTATTTGAAAAATAATAAAAAAAAAAATTAATGGTAAGTAATGGATTTATCACGTGTCACTGTATCAGCTTTAGGGATAGTTTTTATATCTAAGATATAGATAAAGAAAAACAAAAACAAAGGTTTAAATTGCTCCTAAAATATTTGTAAAAAGAAAAATCGCTACGTGAACGAACGTAGCCAAAAAAGAAAAATTAATTAATTGATTAATTAGTAACGAATTTTTGCCCAATTTCTAGGTTTAGGCCAAAAAAAAAAAAAAAGAGGAAACCATTGTTTCCACCAACGACAGATTTCATCACCGATAAAAATGCTTCTTCACTGAGACACAAACTTGGAAGAACAGAGCAGAGGCCCCCCATTTCTCTCTTTCTTCCAAAATGCCATTTTTCAGACCCTTTCTATCACTGTAAGTTTCTTGCTTGAATTCAATTTTCAATTTTTATAGATAACCCAATTTTTAATTTTCCCACTTGTCTCTCAATTTCATAATTCTTTCGCTTTCTTTTTTTTTTTTTACATTTTTTTAACTGCCTTTTCATTTTAGCTCATGTCTCAGTTATTCTGTCAGTCTGCTCATTTGGCATTGACTTCAGCAATGCTTCCCTCAATTCTTTAGTAGAATTGGATTAATTGTTTTTTCTTTTTTCTATTGAAATATATATACTCATGTTAATTTGGGTTGTTTCTATTGAAATTCAATAGTTTATAACCATTAGTAGATAAGGCATTGCTTTGAGTGACTTTATAAATTTAAAATTGATCACCATGTAATTAAACAGATAGATTGAACGAATGGAGGGCGGTTCAACTTGGGTTTAATAGAAGAAAAACATGCTGAATTGGTTGTTGAATGCACGGAAAACATGGACGTGGGAGGGGGAAAAGGGGACAATGTCCAGGGAGTGAATGTTGAGTCTAATAAGGGGGGTGATGATAATTGGAATTTAATTGATAATTCAACGGAGATAGAGATAGTTGTTAATCAGGATGATGATGGAGGTGCAGGAGGTAAGCCGTGTGTTGGGATGGAATTTGAGTCGGAGGATGCAGGCAAGACATTTTATGATGGATATGCTAGGCGGTTGGGGTTTAATACCCATGTTGGTCAATTTACACGTACAAAGCCTGATGGGCCAATTGTAACGTGGGATTTTGCATGTTCAAGGGAGGTTTTTAAGAGGAAAAATGTTGAAAGCTGTAATGCCATGTTTAGGATAGAGAGAAAAGATGGAGGTAAGTGGGTTGCAACAAAGTTTGTGGAGGATCATAATCACTCTATGAATTCTCCTAGTAAGGTTCATTACCTTAGACCTCGTAGGCATTTTGCTGGAGCCGCTAAGAATGTTCCTGAGAGATTGGATGCTACTACTGATGTTTATGTTTCAGCAGATGGAAACCATGTTTCTTATGAAGCAACTAGGGTCAGGAATGCCTCCTCTGTTGAAACTAATCGCCTTGTAAGGAATATGGGGCCTGGGCCTGTAGGCTATAGCAGACCTTCTAGTCAAAGGAGAACACTAGGGAGAGATGCTCAAAATCTCCTGAACTATTTCAAGAAGATGCAGGCTGAAAACCCTGGCTTTTTCTATGCAATACAGCTCGATGATGACAACCGAATGACTAATGTTTTCTGGGCTGATGCAAGATCAAGGACAGCTTATAATTACTTTGGAGATGCAGTTATTTTTGACACAATGTATCGACCAAATCAGTATCAGATTCCATTTGCTCCTTTCACAGGCATAAATCACCATGGCCAGATGGTGTTGTTTGGTTGTGCATTACTTCTAGATGAGTCTGAGTCTTCCTTTACCTGGCTATTCAAGACATGGTTATCTGCAATGAATGATCGACCTCCTGTTTCCATCACCACGGACCAAGATAGAGCCATACAAGCAGCAGTTTCACAGGTCTTTCCAGAAACTCGCCACTGCATTTGCAAGTGGCACATCTTGAGGGAAGGACAAGAAAGGTTGGCACATATCTACCTTGTTCATCCTTCCTTCTATGGTGAGCTCTATAGCTGCATAAACTTTTCTGAGACGATTGAGGATTTTGAATCATCATGGAGCGCTCTACTCGATAAGTATGATCTCCATAAAAATGAGTGGCTTCAGGCAGTCTATAATGCTCGTAAACAGTGGGCTCCAGTTTATTTTCGTGGTACTTTTTTTGCTACTCTTTCTTCAAACCAAGGGGTTAGCTCCTTTTTTGATGGGTACGTAAATCAGCAGACAACCATACCACTTTTCTTTAAGCAGTATGAAAGGGCTCTAGAACATTCTTTAGAGAAAGAAATAGAAGCAGATTATGATACAATCTGCACCACACCATTGCTGAAGACACCATCGCCTATGGAACAGCAGGCAGCAAACTTCTACACAAAGAAAGTTTTCTCAAAGTTTCAGGAGGAACTAGTTGAAACTTTTGTATATACTGCAAACAAGATTGATGGTGATGGGATAATCAGTAAATACAGGGTTGCAAAATATGAACATGATCATAAGGCATACTTTGTAACACTGAATATTTCTGAGATGAAAGCAAGTTGTACTTGTCAGATGTTTGAATATTCAGGCATTCTATGTAGACATATATTGACAGTCTTCACTGTGACAAATGTTCTTACCCTCCCTTCACATTACATATTAAAGCGGTGGACCAGGAGTGCCAAATCTTGGGTTGGATTTGATGGGCAACATGCCGATCTTCAAGGTATTGAGACTGTAACCACCCGTTTCAATAACCTATGTCAGGAAGCTTTCAAATTGGCAGAAGAAGGGGCAGTCACTTCTGAGACATATAATGCAGCAATCATTGCTCTTAGAGAGGCTGGGAAAAAGATTGATTTTGTAAAGAAGAATGTAGCTAAAGTCGCACCGCATAGCTCTTATAGTAGTGGAAATGGTCATGAAAATGGTAGCAAAAAAACCACTTCTCCAGTCTCCGAAATAGTACCATCTTTGTGGCCATTGCAAGATGCAGTACCACCTCGCTTTAATCTTAATGATGTTGGGGCTCCACTTACCGACTTGAATCAACCTAGCATGGTCCCTGTATCTATTCATCGTGATAGTGGTCACCCGGATAACGCGGTATGTGTGAAAGAAGTTTATATCTATTTTATTCATATATGCTTTATATGTATGTCAACAACTTAGACACGCATATGTGTCTTGGATTATTGTTTGTATGCAGCATTAGCTGACCTTTTGTTAGTGCAAATATGTGAGAATTCTATTTCCATTGGGCGCAGGTGGTCCTCACATGTTTTAAGTCCATGACTTGGGTTATAGAAAATAAAACTGCAATGGAAGCTTGTAAAGTAGCTGTCATAAACTTGAAGGTATATTGGCATATACTCTTATTGTTGTAATGATTTTTATCAACTATCTTGTTTGCATTGTTTTTTTTAAATTTATTTTTATTTTCCTTTTTGGGTTTCTCATTGTAAATTCAAGATACAGTTTTCTATCACATATTAGATACTTTGCCAACTGGTATAAAGTAACAACTAACTGCTTATTTGTGGTTAGTCTATTCTACAAAAATCCTTATATACTATTCATAGTGCTTCCAATGACCATTTACTTTGTTGAAAATCTGCAGTCATCTTTCAGATTGTCCAAGCATGAATCATTGTAGCATAACTTGAGTTGATTGCTTTTGATTGCAATAATTGTCCTTCTCCTCTGTTGCAGCTGCATGACTATGGCAAGAATCCTTCAGGAGAGACAGAAGTGCAGTTTAGACTCACAAGGATTACTCTGGAACCTATGTTGCGATCAATGGCTTACATCAGTCAACAGCTCTCAACACCAGTCAATAGAGTTGCTGTCATAAATTTGAAGGTTTGAAATGTTGAACTTAAGTCTCTTCATCTCCTAGCATGTTCGTTTGTGATGATCTCTTAGTTATATGAATTGCCATAGTGTTTTAGCATAATGATATTAGATGCTATATTGTATGTCTTGAATCTGTTCAGCTAAGTCGGCCTCTTTCCTAAGAACTATTGTATTTAATGAGTTTAATCATGCTTTTTGGTATTTCATCAGGTTATAGAGAGCATAGTGTACCAAAATTCAAAACATTGGAACTGTGTTTCTTGTAGATCTGATGGCTAAATGAGCAGAATCTCAGAAACAACCTTTTCTTCATTGTAATTACCAAACTGCCCTTTGATATTTTAATCTCTAATTCTAACTTTCGTTATATACAGTCCTTTAAAATTGCTTCTTTTATTTTTACAAAAGATTGTTGCAATTTGAGGTTCATTTGAAGGGCAAATTGATGATTGGATTTTGGTTCTTGCCAAGAACCAAATTCTCAACTTCTTGGGTATTACTTCTTATGGACAGAGAATTTAACCTTTTTTTTTTTTTCTCAGAAAACAGTGCAAGAACCAAATTCTCAACTTCTTGGGTATTACTTCTTATGGACAGAGAATTTAACCTTTTTTTTTTTTCTCAGAAAACAGTGAAAATAAACCTGATAACCATGTAATGGTCCTTATTTTAAATGAGCTAAAGTTGACTCACAACTTGAACTACTTTTGCATTTTTGTCCAGACTTAAGGATGTTTCCTGTTTCCTGCTTTACATCCTGTTTTTTGGGTTTATATATTATATTTAGTAATTCTTTTAAGTGTAGAACATAGAGGAAGTGGTCAGCATCTTGTGGTCATAAAATGGGCATATTCTTTTTTGGGACTGAACTCAAATTTTCATGTATCTTGCATAAGACCAAGTGCCACTGACTACCCTTCCTCCACTCTATCTATCGGGACTAGTAATCAATGGCATGTTGACAAGCCTTTTACTTTCATCTTCCTTCTTTTGGTAATCCATGAGTGTACCCTGTATGTAGATTTGTTTATGTTGCATTTCAATTGATTGACTTTGATAAATGTTTTCAACTCTAGAAGACAAAGGCAAGTTCTTGGATTCTTCATGGACAACGAAATTATTTGGTCTAAGGAAAGATATCCAATATTAATTTATAAATTTAGTTAAGTCTTGGTGTCAAGGGCCATTTTGGTCTTTTTGTGTTACCGGATTGGGTCATAGTCCTGATATATTGGGTCTTAATGGTCTAGTAAGTCTTTAATTTTTCATATCACTACAGATCTCCTATTTGTCTCTACCTGCATCATGTCCCAAATTTATTGCTGAATTTTCTTTTGACTCTCTCACATAGCACCTAGCTATAAGAAGCTTTTGGTTAGATTCTCATCATTGATCAAGTCTACTAGTTTTAACATGGGGATCATTCATGGGAAACTTGGTTCTCTCTTAAGAAGATAATCAATCAGCAATTATCTTCACCAAAGCTTATTGTTTATTTCCTCTACAAAATGGTTCACTTCCTCTACAAAATGGCTACTAAATCTTAGCCCAATACCTTTTCACAGAATTTGAAAACAACAATGGCTATAAAATGCCTGGAATGCCCTCCTTTTTGAAGCACATGTGCATCATTTTGTTTGAGTCCTTCGTAGAAATCTAGATATATGTTGACTGGGGCAAAAGGAAACGTAAGAAAATAAGATGAGAGATTGCTAGACCTAAGGTGAATGGGGCTGTTAAAAGTTAAAGATATGGGGAGATAAGTTGAATGGCTTTAGATGTATGCTCTGTATGAAACTTGGCCATAATGGTCTATTTCCTGAGTTGATTTACCTGTGATTTACATTTATTATTATCTATACAAAGTAAACAAATGAATTTTTTATATTTATATTTTTATACGTAAGTCTCCAATGTCCACATGTCTTAACCTTTTGGATATGCCATGTGTAGCACCCTATGTCTGAGTTGGCAGAGCTTTTATGATTTTGTCCATGTCCACAAAAAGTAGGTTCTAATGATAAACATCATTTGATTAGCAGTACACCAAACTACAGTGGCTATGATAAATTAAAGTATCATCTTTCTTTTCTTGTTTGCTACTGCTTAGAATTGAAGAGTAAGATTTGTGCTTCTTGTTGCTTTAAGTTTTTATGTATGTTATAATGCAAGCCTACATTGATTTTTTTATAACTTATTGTTTGTTTGCATTTCTCAGCTCCAAGATACAAAGATAACTTCTGGTGAAACAGAAGTAAAATTTCAGGTGTCAAGAGATACTTTGGGTTCTATGTTGAGATCAATGGCCTATATTCGTGAGCAACTTTGACAATTGTAAGCATTTATTTCCACGGTTCAAGTTTAATGTTAATGGAACCATAATTTAACAAATTACTAGAATGTAAGTAGACACCTTCCTACTCAAAAGAAGGCAAATAGATGAATTTCTTATGGTTAATTAATGTTATAGGATTTTGTACTAGATAAACTGCAACAGAGGTTGTGACGGCCATGGAATAAGAAACCTTAATATTTTCATATTTATAATTTCAATGCTGGCGATTTAGGACTTGAATTTATAAAAGCTGGCTATTTCTGTGCTATAAGTTATTTTGGTAATTTTCTGTTTTTTCTGAATGGGCCTTAGTCGTGACCCATTGGGTCTTATGTTGGGTTTAGATAAATTACTAGGGCTTTTATGTTGTCTTCGGTTTATATTAGCCAAGTCTGTTTTCCTAGTTCTATGGCTTTAGCTTTTAAGAGTCGTTGGCCAATTCTGTCTATTTATATCTATTTGTACTGCTAGAGTTGGTAATTTTTCTTTCTCATAATTAAGGTTTGAGTTACAGAGAGTTCTTGGAGATTTTGTTATAAAGTTCCAAACTTACATGAAAGTTCGGGTCGTTAACCATGATTGTAGAATAAAACAGAGAAAGGGATGGTTAGGGATCTCTGTTCTGATACGAAACTCATTTATGACAGATTTGGGTAACTCTGCCCACGTTTATGTTCAACTATGGAATTTAAGAATTGTAGCTATTATTTGTATCACTGAGGCATTTCATATGATCCCAAAAGAAAGTTGGAATTAATGGGAAAGATTGTTGGAAATTTTGGGCAGCTGAATTGGAGAAATCAAGTTCAATGGCCTCTTGTACTGTGAACACTGACATGAGAGTACTGTTGAGAGAGAGAGAGAGAGAGAGAGAGAGAGAGGGAAATATTTGGATCGATATGTATTTGTTAAAGGTGCAGGAGTACTCTCAGGACTAAGACTTCTAATGGGTAACTGACTGGTAACTTGGGCCTTGTGAAAATAATCTGAACTCTTAGGGATTCTTGAAGCAATCTAAACCCTGCAACAGAGATACATGACAATTATGCCCTACACATTAAAATTGCTGATATTGAAATTATGAACATGAATAAAAAAGTTTCTTGCCCCATGTCTGTATCAGATAACTTGCTTTCACACCCAATTTGATTCCATTGAAAGATGGTGCAAAGTCAAATTGTACCTTGGCTTGCACAAATGCTATCCGTTTTTTTGACGAAGGAAAAACAAATGAGAGCAAGGTGTCATGCTTCAAACCTTGGGATAGTCTTCTAATGGTGCAAATCATTGAATATATTAGTAACTGAAACAAGTTGATTCCAATATGTCTTGTGGTGTTTGCTTTTGCTTTGACATGATTGTTGATCTATTCTGCCCTTTTCTGCTGTTGTTTGATATAGTTTATGAATCATTATCTGTTGGCATAGTTCGGAAGGAGTATGGAGACCGGTGACTTTGTTGTTCAACTGAAGAATTAACTAGCTGGAATGATGCATACCTGAAATTTGCCTACCATTGGAGTTGGAACCCGATAACATTATAGTAAAATGTCAGTTATTTAGCTGTGGCTGCTTGGGGAATAGGACAAGCCGGTATAGTTAATCGAGAAAACTTAATAAAGTAACTTGATTTGTGAAAAGGTAGCGAAGATAGATAGTCCCGGTTGCAAGGGCTTAGACTTTATAACATTGTAAAAATTCGGAATTAATTACTAGTCAATGGAGAATATGTGACGGAAAGAGGGACAAACTAATGAATAGAGATAAACCATAGGGAAAAAAGGAAAAAATCATAGTTGAATGACTACTTTTCATCTATTTATGTTTGTCTTTTGATTATTATTTGAATAGTCCTTGACAGTGTTAATTTCATGTTATTATTTCACTTTTCCTGACAGCATGTATCGGAGCTCTTCACCCGTGAAACGCTTGCTGTACTTAAGTAGCTGGTGTGCTGCGCCTTTTTTGTCTGATTACACTAGTATACCATGTTAATGTTTGACAGAATGTGATTAGTTGTAGTGAGGTATGATAATTTATGTGAAACCAACCACATTTGGTTTAGTCTAAGGCAATGTTCTTCTCATCTCATAACTTTGGTTCTCTGTAGTTATTTGTTGGAAACTCATTTGTAGATTTAAATTGTGAATGAACACTGGCTGTTATATGCACAAATGAGTATTTCAGCAATTCTAATGTTGATCTGATTGTCTTTTACAGCTTCACCCGTGACCATGTGGCAGTTTTTTCTCATAAAATTTCCTTTATTTTTACTATCCATAATTCACATATATTCTTTCATAAAGAAATTTTTTATGTACTAATGGTAAAGTTTTTTAATTTCAAAATGAGATTAATAAAATAATATTGACACGTATTTCACTTAATTTTTAATTAATTTTTAAATATATGTTAAAGAATATATATCACTCTATTAGCATTACTTATAAAATTAAAAAATTTCATTACTAATATATTTAATCATTTCTGTCTTTCACCATATGTACGGCTTTTTCCATTTTCCAATTGTATCTTATTACCCGAGTAGGAGAAAATCAAACGTAAAGCCATCACGTTTTTCATGATAACCCCATTCGTAAGTCAAACACCGAAAGTTGGGACAACCATCATTTTCTCTGCCAACCTTCAGTCTGAAGCAGTCAACCACACTATGTATGCTTAAGCTCCTAAAAAATATATGTATTTACTTGATATGATATTTCATTTAATAAATATTTAAGAAATATTTATAAAAAAAATTTTAATATATCAAAATTTATAAATATTTTTATTAACGTTTATTATAACATATTTTAAATCTGATCTCTTTGTAATCAATTTATTATCTCTCTTTTATTTTTTTTTTTATTCATGGTTCAAGTGCATTAAAAAACATTTTAAAGTGTAATACTAAATTTGTTCACTTAAATATCATTTCATGTGATAATGTTTTCAAGGGTTGTAGAAAATTATTATTCTTAAGAAAAACTTCTTCCAAATATCTTCCTTAAATTACTTTTTTTTCGAATTAAATTGCATTAATCAATCTTAAATATAATATGTATCAATTAACAAATTTTAATTTAAAATATAATATAATAATATGATAAAAAAATTTAAAATTTTAATAAAAATTATAATTTATTATAAATACAAATATAAAAAAATCATCTTTGTCATTAATTATAACAGTTAGGGTAAGACATCAATCATCGATAGGATTTAAATACAAAAATCACTAACTGACAAGATAGACAATTTTAAACAAAATCATTTATAGTGGATCACAGCAATCTACAAGGTTTTTTTTTTTAATTAAATTTGTTTAAAATTGATTAAAATTAGGCTTAAAATGTGGATGATCATCTAACATGTTCAAGAGCGGATTTAAACACCTAAAAACTAAATAATAAAAAAATTCAAAAAGAAATTTTTTTTTAAATATCCTCAAAAGTTTTTTCTTAAATACATTTTCATAATAAAATTAATACATTTATCAGAAACTTTTATATATATTATAAATAAACGCTGCTGCATGACACATTGCAACTCGTAACATCAAACAAAAAACAACGCGTGTAATATACGTACCAATTAGGAATCATTAAAGTATATATCGTTGGACCCCAATTCACTTTTATTGATTAATTAAATAAAAAATTAATTAACCATTGAAAGAGAAAGAAAAAAAATCAATCTGAGATAGACTGACAAATGACAAGCAAGAAAGAAAAAACAAAACAAACTAATCTTTGGGAAAGGGCTTTATTAACTAACCATTTCTCTCTCTTGAAAAGGCTAATTTAAAGAGAGAAAGAATTTAATTAAGAGTTCATTTGAATCACTGAAGAGGTTGATTACAATAAAATTAAAAAAAATCATAAATTTTATTATAATTATGATGTAAAAAAATTATTATAATTATAATTAAAAATAATAATAATAAATTTATGTTAATTTAATTTTATTAAAATTAATATTTAAATTTAATTAAAAATATAATAAATTTAATCATATCATATTAAAATACGATGAGATCCAATCAGATATTACCTATAAATTTAAGAGGAAAGCTCAAATGTTTTTTCTTAAGTATTTAAGTATAAATTTATTGAAAAATTATAAAAAAATTATGAATTCGTTAAGCCTAAAGTCGAGAAATTGATTTGAATTGATTGAAAGGAAAAAAAAAAAAAGAATTCAAAAATCTCTTATTACTAAAAAATTGTAAATAAATAATTAATTAAGCTTCATAAAAACAAAAACATTCTCTTTCCTTCTTTTTCTCCTTCATTTCCTCTCCTTCTGAGATTTCCTTCTTTTTTTCTCCTTCTTTTAGCTTCCCTTCTCTCTCATTTTCTCCCTTTTATTTTCTTTTTTTTACCCTCTCTATTTTCTCTCTCCCCCAAACACAGAAGCTCAAAATTCAAAAAAAAAAATAATAAAAAAGAAAAAGAAAAAAGCTTTCCTTTTGTAATCGGCTTATTTGATAGATCTCGATGTTTTGCTCTTTCTATTCTCGGATCCTTTTTCTTCTAGCTCAAAAAATACGGTTAGAATAAAAAATAAATATATTTGATCTAGGGTTTGCTCTTTTTTATTATTATTGGTTTTAGATCAAGGAATTTATTATAGTTATAATTTTTTTTTTTTTGGTGTTGAATTTTCAGGTTTTCGATTTTCTCTTTTGTCTCAGCTCTCTCTTCAATCAGGAACCATAATTGAGCTCATTCAAAGAATTTTATTTTTAGGCAAGTTTTTCCCCAAATTTTGCATCTTCTTAAGGCAGTTAATTGAGTTCTATGTTTTCTTAGATTCTTCCTTTTTTAATTTCCTTTTTTTTTTGGGTGCTTTTCTAATTAAATGGGTGGATTTGGATTAATTTATTGTAAATTTATATTTTTTTGTTGTAATTTAGTAGTTGATAGTGCAATTATTGCAGCTTATAATTTATCAATTGTAGATTGTTGGAGTAATTTATGAGAGAACTGTATTGCAATAAATGCAATTTGGATTTTACTTATTGTCTGAATTTATTTATGTCATCATTTCTGGAAATGGGCCTCTTTTAATTTTCAAAATTGTATGTTATCTGCTTTCTAAATTACGTAAAAGGGTTTAATTTAACTTTCAAAGATTGGAATGATTTTGCTGTTTGTGGAATAGAATTGGAATTTGATACACGGTTTACGTCTATCTTTGCTGGATTTTATATTCTTTGGATAATTTTGCTTTCTATTAACTATTTTAGTCTTTCTGTATATGATGACTTTTTTCTGTCGTTTCCAAATTCGTTATCTGTAAGAGTTGTTCTTATATTATCCCAACGACTTTTGTTTCCTTTTGTAGATTTAATATGTTTGTGTATGCTTTCGCAATTCTTATTTAACATGTGAATAAAAGGAGTGCCATGGTTGATCCACTTGTAGTTTGTCTTGATGCATAAAGAGCGTGTATTGGAAAAGAAAATGATGTACCTGTGTGAGTTGGAGTGCAAGTATGAAAAAGTGTGAGGAAAACATGCTGCCTTTTTTTGGTTCTTTGTATTCTAATTATGCGTGTCTTCTATCTTTTATCTGGTTTCAGGTTTTGGATGGTTCTCACCTGTTGGTAGGGATTTGTGTGTGATTACATAGAGATGAGTCACACAAAAAATGAGAGGGAAGAAGGCATGCTCTCTAAGGATCAGACAGAATTGCCATTGATTGGTGATGGTAGCTGTGGAGGAGGTGCAGGTGGGGGAGTTGCTCTGAAGAAAGGACCATGGACATCTGCTGAAGATGCAATTTTGATTGAATATGTGAAGAAGCATGGGGAAGGCAACTGGAATGCAGTTCAGAAGCACTCTGGACTGTTTCGTTGTGGAAAAAGTTGCCGCTTACGTTGGGCAAATCACTTGAGGCCCAACTTGAAGAAAGGGGCATTTACTCAAGAAGAAGAACAGCTGATCATCGAACTCCATGCAAAGATGGGAAATAAATGGGCTCGGATGGCTGCACATGTAAGTATGCAGTTCATTTACTGTGAATCTAATTATTCTCATGATTGTTTGAATAAGAGAAATTTATTGAACATAAAATACTTATGAATTCCATCAATAAAATGAAGCTTAAAACTTAAAATTTGTCTGTTGAATTGTGTGCCCCCTCTGTGTGCTGAATTCTTTTTATTGCTATCATTTAAAACTTTTATTGTATAATACATTTAGAACAAGTTACATGAAATATTATTAAGAATACTGATAGTTACACTTGGCTGTTTCATTCTATCTGAACTCCTGTTGCAGCATGTGTCCATCATTATTCATAACCAATGAACTAACTGAAGGAATGTTGAAGTGCTCTGATTTGTATTATGGGTTTCAGGGAGATCCAAATTAAGACAGTAATTTTTAGTGGTTTACAGAGTAAAAGTTTGTCAAGAGTCATAAGGAGCCTTTTAGTCAGAGAAATGTTATTCTTGGCCTAGGTGAAGTCATCGTCTCCCCGGATTATAAAAATCCAGCTCCTCATCATGCTGTACCCTCTTCCCCATGCCCCATCCTTATCCCATCGTATTCCCAAAGCCAAAAGGACAAGTAGTGAGAAAACTAAAATGCAAAATTTAGTTCATGCCTTAAAAAAGATATTGAACCACATTAGTAGCCACAAGGATTGTGCTAGATGCAGAATAATAGCAATTTGTCTTCCAGAATTCTATGGCACCTATTCCAACCTTTGAAATGCTAAACATTTGTGCAAAGCATGATGAAACTTTCAATTACAATAATTTGTACGTCTGTCCTTTAGGTGTCTGAAATAAGTTTCTCTATGCTGTGTTATTCTTTGTAGCTGCCTGGTCGTACAGATAATGAGATAAAAAATTATTGGAATACCCGGATTAAAAGACGTCAACGTGCTGGGTTACCTCTGTATCCTCCCGAAGTGTGCTTGCAAGCACTGCAGGTGAGCCACAGTACCAGTGCAGTTAATGGAAGGGATAAAGGACCTCATGATACCTTGCAGAACAACAGCTATGAGATCCCTGATGTCATATTTGACAGTTTAAAGGCCAATCAAAATGTCCTGCCCTATGTCCCCAAACTTCCTGATATATCTGCTGGCAGCATGCTGATGAAAGGTCTAGGTTCTTCTCAGTATTGTAGTATCATGCCTCCAGCAATCCATCGCCAGAAGCGTCTTCGAGAATCAATGGCCTTTTTCCCTGGTTACACTGCTACTGTTAAAAATGAATGCCCCTTGTTTGAGCAGTTGCAAGATGATATGTCGGACAAGGCTGCTCGATCCTTTGGGCTGTCTTTTCTGATTGAACCAGATCCTGCAACCAACAACTCCCAGTCATTTGGTGCATTCCCTGGTAGCCATGCCCTTTCAAATGGCAATTTCTCTGCTTCAGAGCCCTCTTTTGAGGCTGTGAAGTTGGAGCTCCCTTCACTCCAATATCCAGAAACTGAATTGGGTAACTGGGGCACATTATCTTGCCCACCACCTTTACTTGAGTCTGTCGATGCTTTTATACAGTCACCACCACCAACCAGCGGAGTGCAGTCAGATTGTCTTTCACCCCGTAATAGTGGCCTGCTGGATGCTTTAATTCATGAGGCAAAAACTCTAAGCACTGCAAAGAATCATGCATCTGACAAGAGTTCAAATTCATCAACTCCCGATGATATAGCTGAAAGTTCCATTTTCAACATTTGTGAGACCGAATGGGAAAACTGTGGTGAACCTCTTTCTCCAATGGGTCATTCAGCAACTTCTCTTTTCAGTGAATGTATCAGTGCAAGTGGCAGTTCATTGGATGAACAGCCACCTGCTGAAACCTTTACTGGTGAGCATCTTTCTGATCTGGACTTTTTAAGGCTGAAATATGATTTATACTTTTCATGCATTATCAAAAAAATGGAAATTATCTGCCACGTTATTAAAATTTGATCTTTCTCATCAAGCGTCAATGCTGACTTATATCCCTTAGATTGCAGTGATGTTTCAAGTTTAAACTATTTTAAATTGACATAGAATTTACAAAAGCCTCTTTTTTTCGTACCCTAGTTTTGGAGTCATTTGTCAGAAATCTTTGTTTAATGGCATGTTTTATTTTTTATTTTTTGCACCATTTTTATATCATCAAATTCGTTTTATCTTGTCCAGATATTTTATGGTAGAGTCCTTGAACTAATATTCCAAGTCTACGGGAAGTGAGAATCATACATGCTCAAATATTTTCAGTTGTTTGGCTAGAGTTTATTAACTTGAATTTGGATTGTTTTTCAGAGTCCCATGTAAAATCAGAATCAGCTGACCGTGCTTTGACCCCTGAGGTACAAAAAGAGGCTCCTATTCAGCTGGACAATAGTCGCCCTGATACTTTACTTGCTTCAAATTGGCTTGAGCAGGATTCTGGTTATAATAAGGACCAGACAATCATGACCGATGCCATAGCAACCCTTCTCGGTGATGATTTGAGTAGTGAGTACAAGAATATGGCAGCTGGAACATCTATTTCAAGTCAAGCATGGGGCCTTGGTTCTTGTGTATGGAATAACATGCCTGCTGTCTGTCAAATGTCTGAACTCCCTTGAGATCTGCTATCTCCATTGTATGAACTTCTCCGAAGCTTTTTGTTTGTTTTGTTCATTCCATCATTTGTTTGATGTGGGTAGTCAAGCGAACCTGATGTACTGAAGTTCATTTGGGGTGAGACTATAATATGGTATTAGTCATGGATGTTGGGTTTGTTGTTTTCGGTGTTTTTCTTGTTGAACTGTTGAATGCGCGTATGCCAATATGGAACTACGAGGTATACAAATGCATTCAAGCTGTTGTTATAATTTTAGAATAGCTACGCACTTTTAGCATGGAACCTCCCCAGTCCAATGATTTAGCTATTTGATGCCATGTGTCTCAACTGATGCTGATTTGTGTTGGATGAAACACAGTTTTATTTTTCATCCATATCTCAAAAACTCTAATTCTTCTGTTTTTATTCATACGATCATCTTTAACAGGTTGGTTTCGCTGTTTTCCTTTTTTTTTTTTTTTGGGTACTATCAGAATTTTAACTCTGATTATTGGAACTAACGCTGTTTGGTGGTGGTGACTGTATAAAAGCATCAACAGACTTTTGGTGGAAAGGGTCAATCTTTGAACTTCAAAAGGATTAACGGAACCCACCTATGAATACCTCTAAGTTGCATCTAGAAATAATTATTTAACTTCAATTGGCAAAAAAAGAACGTAATAATCCAATGACAATATCAACCCTAATTATGGAAAAGATGATAAAATTTTGTTAAGAAAAATATTAAGGGTTTTTTTTATTAAAAATAACTTAATAAGAATTAAATTTGAGCTCATAAGTAGCTTGACTGTACGTATTTTCTGCTCAAAAAGTCAAGTTCAAATTCTTTTGTCACAAACATTAAAAAATAACTAAAAATTAAAAAACCATTGAATGAGAAAATGAAGTTCTGGTTACCCTTTTTCCTAGAAAACCAGCTTTCCTGTCATGTTAAACTTGTTTTGCTTGCTTGTTATTGTATTAGGCAGGTACAGATTGTAGAAGTTTTCCTTTTGGACATAAGAATTTTCAAGTATCCCAAAACAAAATGTACGGAAAATAACAAAGTCCAAGAGCATTTGGTCCATGAAAATGGAACAAGAAAGATTGATCTTCCATTTTCTGTTATTTGGTAAGACCAAATATTGATTCGATTAAGAATTGTTTTTGTTTTTTTACAACAATTAAGTTGATTTTATTCCATGTTTCCTGATTCATCTTGCGTTGTTGCACCATAACAAAAAAAGTACTAATTGACATTGATCACTCATACATCATGTAAAGAAAAGAGGAAGAATTTCAATGCATGCAGCACTGATTATGTAACTTACAATTTCCTTCAAGTAATCCAACACCATCCTTTCCAAGAGAAACAGATGAACAAGAACATAATTAAACAAGCATCAAACATCATTGATTCAGAAGACTGGATCATCGTAAAAAAAGGGCTTCGAATCATAGATATCTTTCATGACTACTCCAACTGTCGGATGCCAATTCACTAAAAAGGGTGGCTGCACTTGATTTTCTTGAAATAGAAGGTGAACGTGGAAGTCTTCCACTGAATTGACTCAGGCTACTTTCTGAGGTAGTTTCTATTGTAAAGCTTGAATCATCATTATAGGGAGATTGTGACTGTGACTCTGAGGAGTCTTTGCTCACTGTATCTGAATGTGCAGGTGACTGGTTTCTGATGCTACAAGTTTTCTCACAATCCATTATGTACTGTAAAGCATAAACCACCTGCAATAATATTGTTTAGTTATACAGATTGAAAATTTTTAATTAACAAAGATAATCCCAAAACGTTCATGTGGTTTTAGCTGTTGAGATCTATCTCCAAAGAGGCTAGTAAAGATTGATCTATCCTGCTATTTCGGCTCTGACTCTTTTGAGTTTGTCAGTGACCATTAACCCCTCTGAGAGGCCGTGTCTTACTTTCTTTGATGTCAAGATTACCGTATTAAGTCATTATATTGTTTTCAAAACTTTTTTAACAGTTAAGGATCCTCTTTTATAGAAGGCTCAAGGCTTCAAGGGATTCATTCTCCATTAATATTCACAATAATCGAAAGTTGAATAGATTCAAAGTAATATTTTTGTATGAAGAGGATAGTAAAGCGACTTTTTCTGCATTGTACCAGGGATTAGACTAGTTCAAGCCTCCAAGGGGCATGACTACATCACCTACTCCACTCATACAAATTTGATTGTTTAGATTTCGTAAAGACTGGTGGTACGCTTTAACTGCCATAATGTCGTGTTCGTCACTAACACGAAGGGTCTCATATCATGATCGATAGCCAAGTCTATCAGCAGCAAGATCCTAATGGTTTGAGTGGAATCCATACTTGAGGAAAAGTTAAGGTTTGGGATTATGGGAAAATACTTAGAATTAAGCTGGTTGTAATCTGTATCTCTAAAATTAAGCTGGTTGTAATCTGTATTTCTAGAATTAAGAACTAAATATTAGCATAGATAATCCCTTAATTATAGGGGTTAGCTTTTAGGAAGATTTAATTTTCTAGTTTACTCTATAGTTAGCTGTATATAAACCTAAAGTGTTTGTATAATTAGACAAACAAGTCTTTCTATATACTCTCAGTTTTTTCACATAGTATCAGATTTTAGGCTTTTCTTGGAAGTAAAATTTTCAGCCTTCTTTGTTTATTTTTACTTTAAGTTTTCATTGTCATTAAAGCCTTTATAGCCATTTTGTTTTTCCCTTCTTTAACTTTCATTGTTAAGAGCTATTTCTGATTAAATCTTAATTATTAAGACTTGTTTCAATTCAAAAAAAGTAATAATGTCAAAGATAACAGAATTTATGATCGCTACCACCCAATTCGAGGAATTGTCAACTAGTAAAATCACTAGAGTACTATAAAAGTCTTCAGAACAAAGTTAGTTGGACAAAATAAGAGATTGAGAACTTGAGAAGCCTATTGAAAACCTTTAAAAAGCCTACTGCAATATGTTCCTTGGGTAAAATCTTTAGTTCAAGTAAAATCTCTAGTTCTTATGGATTAAATGTCTTAGTTAAATCTATTACGAGTTATTGGATCATTAACTCATGAGTCACAAATCACATGATACATTTCTCACAAAAGTTTAATAAATATACCCTGTGTCCTAGTAATAAAAAATTTTTTGTTGCGGATGATTCATTTACTATTGTGGCAAGATTAGGAAATATTCAAATTAATTCTCGTTTGTTCTAAAACATGTTCTTCATATTCCTTGATTGTTTACTAATATGATATTCATATAAAAACTTACTAGAGACCTAAACTGCAAAATGATTTTTTATCCCTCTTATTGTGAATTTCAAAAGCAAAGTTCAAGGAGGAGGATTGAACTTGCTAAGGAGAAAGATGGGTTATATTATCTTAAGACATTAAACAACACAAGTAATATTAAGAATAGTTTACCTTTGTCATTTTCTTTTTTATTAACTATAACCCGAGCCTTACTTTTCAAGCAAATATACCTATATCATACTGAGGGAAGCTTTCTCACTACCACGTATGTTATAAATATGTTACTTTCAAGGTTTTAGGATTTAAAACTCTTATGGAACTAATTTCATAATTCTATCCCAACTTTAATACCACAAACAATCTCACACCTAAAATATTTGGCTGTACATCATTTATTCATATTCACAATCATAATAGAGAAAAGTTGGATTTAAGAGCAGTTAAGTGTATTTATGTAAGGTATTCATCAACTCAAAAAGGGTATAAATGTTATCATCCTCCTACTAAAAAATTATATAAGTCTACAGATGTCACTTTTGAAGAAAATAATCCGATTTTTACTCAACCTTATCTGTATAGAAAGATGTCATTCATGAAAGATAAGATAAAAACTTCTTTTTGCTTGACTTGTCATCTTCTTTAGCATTTTCACCCACAAATATTTTGAGTTTAAACTTGTTTCCTCAATATTTTCAGCCATTAATTCTTTCGAGTTTACATATGTTTCTTTTGACTTCAAGTTAAACCCTAAATTTAAGTTTAAACCCATTCCAAATACAAAAGTTGTGACTAAGGATAATATTATTCTTGATTCTATGAATGAATTATAGGTGTAGTCAAGAAGGAAAGTTTCATCTCCTAAACCAATACAAGTCCAAGAACATGATCCTAATTCTAAAAGTAAAATAACTACAGTCTTTGACTTTATTTCTCAAAATGAGCATGAATCTCCTAAAACAAAAACTAGTGATTATGATTTGTCTATTACCATCAGGAAAAGAACTAAAAAATGTACTAGGCATCTATTATACCTAATCTTTACTTTTGTATCATTTGAAAAACTCTTACCATCTCATAAAATTTTCCTTGTGAGACTAAATACTATTTCTATTTCAACTACATTATCCGAGACTTTATCTAATGAAAATAGAGGTAAGCCATTAAAATAGAAATGGAAGCCTTAGAGAAAATAAGACAAGGGAATTGGTAAAATTACCTAAAGGAAAAAATTCAATTTGGTGTAAATGGGTTTTCACTGTAAAATACAAGGTGAATGGTACTGTTGAAAGGTATAAGGCTAGGTTGGTGGCTAAGAGCTATACTCACATTTATGGAGTGGATTATCAGAAAACTTTTGCTTTAGTTACCAAGATAAATATAATTAAGATTTTATTATCATTAGCTACAAATTATAATTGGTAGCTTTAACAATTTGATGTAAAAATGCTTTTTTAGATGGTGAGTTAAAAGAAAAAATATGTATGAAGGTTCCATTAAGATTTAGAGATCATCTAGAAGTAAACAAAATATGCAAGCTAAAAAAAGCTTTATACAACCTTTAAATAGTCTCTTAGGGCATGGTTTGGGAGATTTGTCAAATTGATGTTAGCAATGGGATATAAGTAGTGTCAAGAAGACCACACACAGTTTACTAAGTACTCGAATTCATGGAGAGTCTCAATTTTATTAGTGTATGTTGATGATATAATTATAATCGGGGATTATGAAAATGAGAGAGAATTTTTAAAATAGTGTTTGGCTAGAGAATTTAAGATAAGAAAAACTAGGAAAATTGAAATACTTCCTAAGAATTGAAGTAGTTCACTCACATGATGGTATTTGCCATCTCACAGCAAAAATATGTAATGAATCTTTTAAAGGAAACTAAGAAGCTCACATGTAAACTTATAAATAACCCTATAGATCCTAATCATCAACTTGGAAAAGCTAATCAAAATGTTGTTGTAGATAAAGAGATGTAGTAGAGATTAGTTGGAAGACTCATTTATTTCTTATATACTTGACCTGATATAGTATATGTTATGAGTGTGATAAGTTAATTTATGCATAATCTTAAAGAAGTGCACCTATAGGCTGCCTACTATGTACTATACTATTTGAAAGCCAATCTTGAGAGAGTTATCTTGTTTAAAAGAAATTCGAGGTTGGTTCTAAAGGTATATATAGTTGTTGATTATGCAAGTTTGGTAACTGATAGAAGATCTATCTCAGGCTACGATACTTTTCTAAGTGATAATCTTGTGACTTGAAGAAATAAAAAAACATATCGTGCCAAAATCAAGTGTTAAAGCAAAGTTTAGAGTGATGGTTCAAGAAATTTGTAAACTACTTTGATTAAAGATTACCTTAAAAGACTTAAAGATTAAGTGAGATAAATCAGTAAGACTCTATTGTGATAACAAGTCTACAATAGCATTATACACTATCCTGTGAAACTTGATAGAACAAAATATATTAAAGTAGACTGGCATTTCATAAAAAAGAAACTAGACAATGGGTTAATTTGCACATCATATGTATTAACCAAGGGTTAACTTTCAAATTTGTTAAAGATCTTAGCAGTGCAACATTTTGAGAAATTATTTTCAGGAAATAGAAAACACATATTCACCAACTTAAGGGGAGAGTGTGAGAAAATACCTAGAATTAAGCTTATTGTAATTTGTATCACTAGAATTAATCTAATTGTAATTTGTATCTCTAGAATTAAGCTAGTTGTAATCTGTATCCCTAAAATTAAAAACTAAAAATTAAAATCGACAATCCATCAATTATAAGGATTAGTTTTTAAGAAGATTTAATTTTTTAGTTTATCCTTTAATTAGTTATATATAAACTTAAAATCAAGGACTAAAAATTAGGATAGAAAATCTCTCAATTATAGGGACTAGTTTTTAGAAAATTTTAATTTTTTAATTTACCCTCTGGTTAGCTATACATAAATCTAATGCCATATTTAAATAGATTAATAATAAAGGAAAGGAAAAGAAAGAAAAAGAAAGTTTTTTAAAGGAAATGAAATGATACATGTAGCTCTTATTTAGATGATTAAAATTAATAAAAAAAGAAAAATATTCTAACAAGTATTGTTTGAATAAATAATAAAAAAAAATTCATTATAATTTTTTTTTCAGTTATAACATTCTTTTTATAAAGTAACATATATTATACACATATATATTTATACTACTTAACTTGTATAAATAAATCTTTTTGAACAAAATTGAATATGTTTAATATGTTAAAATGTATTAACTAATTATTGATTTATTCTTAACTTTGTGTTTAATTCATCTTTTTAATTTATTCTGATAATAATTTAACTTGTTTTATTGTTAGGGTTTGAAAAATCATAAAATATTTATAAATTATAATGTTATATAAAATATTCATAAAAAAAATTATTTTTATAAAAAGTATAGTTATATAATCAAATCAATTTCATAATAAAAATATGATTAATAATATTTTCATAAAAATAAAATTTTTTTAACTTTTTTTCATTAACTTTTTTTTTAAATTGAAGTATTAAAAAAGTGAAGATTAGAAGAAAAACAAAAACTTAAATTTTCATTTTTTCCTTCAAATTAAAAGTTTATCCAAATAAAAAGAAAAGTTTTTCCGTTTCCATTATCTAGTTTCTTTTCCTTTCTTTCCCATCCCTTCAATCCATATATAGTGTAAGGTATTTGTATAATTAGACAGACAAGTTTTTCATACTCTCAGTTTTTCCACAGGGATATATTAAATATTGATAGCTGAAGTTAAGAATTTGACACTGATGTTGCTGAAGCTCTGTAGCATTGAATATTGAGTTGAAAGACTTGTTCAAAAGTTACCTTATCCATTGATAATCTCTTCTGAGGATCCTTGCTGAGACACTTTTCAGCTACTCGAACCATCCAGAAGAGTTGATGGACATCATGCGACTGTATGATCCTGGGGTCAATTAAATCTGGGTAGTTTCGGTCTTTTAGTAGTGGTCTTGCCTGCACGAAGATAGAACCGTGTTTAATGTACCCGGAAACAAGGTAGCATCTTATTGCAAAATATTGCTAGTTAATAAGTTTTCTTAATTCTAGACCTTTCTATGCATTTATTGATTTTCTTCGTTTTTCATTTTTCCTCTCAAAATGATATTTAGTATAATTGCATTGAATCAATTGAAGTCGAAGAATGTCTTATGGGGCATATGGTTCAATCTAGTTAAGAATGTTTAGTAGTGGGACATTTTACCCATCCAACAAGACTTTTCCCTCCGAGTCTTTTGTCTGTCGTCTTCATTCCAGTGATGAGCTGCAACAGGACCACTCCAAAGGAATAAACATCTGTTTTGGTTGACGCTTTGCCGCATTCTGCGTATTCTGGTGCCAAGTATCCTAGAGTTCCAACAACTCTTGTTACTGTCTCTGATGAATGATCTGAGTCTTCATGTTGAGTTCTTGCCAAGCCAAAATCTCCCAACTGACATAGTGAACCAGTAAGGAACTTTGATTAGTTGAGGTAAGAGAATATATTTGCAGAATGAGAGTTAGTATCGACTTATCTACTTCATATGCTAACTGATCTTGCAAAGCCTCAATACATCAAGGATAGGATAAATTTTCATTCGCCATAGTGCTCAATCGTATGGACTTATCTACTTTAAACGGTTAATACTTTTAGCATTAAGCATAGTTCTCAAAAGTCTTATATGAACTAGAATATATTATTACGTGTTACATGGCTGAACCAAGGTTAGCCTAACTGAATAAGCGTGACTTCTGTCAGATAATTAGGCAAATATATGTAGAAACATTTCCATAATTACCATATGTATTAGTGAAAGTAGTTTAGTTCTTACCAGTGGTTCAAATTCATGGGTTACTAGGATGTTGTTTGGTCTCATGTCTCTGTGGATGATATTGTTGTCGTGCAAATATTTTAAGCCCCTAGCAGTTCCCAGTGCTATCTTCACCCTCTTTTCCCAACTAAGAGGTCGTCTCGTGTGCTCTGCGATCAATTTAGCAAGAAATAATATACATTGATTAGAACTTAATATTTTGGGATGCCAAGATTGAGAGAAAAAACAATATCAGATCTTAGCTAAATGCTAATTCATTGTGAAAGAGAAGTAGAACTGAAGTCTCTTTAGAATTAGGCTTTACTTGATAAATGCAGGTCCAGTGAACCATTGCAGACATATTCATAGACAAGTAGCCTATGGTTTCCTTCAGAGCAAGATCCTACCAGCATGACCAAATTTTCATGTCTAGCTTTCCGAAGCACCTGAACTTCAGACTTGAATTCTTTCTCTCCCTGGAGACTTGCGTTATACATGTGTTGCTTTACCGCAATCTTCAGCCCATTTATCTCTCCCCTGTACACAGAGCCAAATCCACCTTCTGATAGGAAGTTCTTTACATGGAACCCCTCTGTAGCAGCTTGGAGTTCTGCAAAACTGAAGTCTCTCGTCCACCCTACCTTTGGCCTTCTATTATTGCATATCGAGCAAATGAAGTTTTTGAATACCTGATCCCCTGTATTTCCCCCCATCCAATCATCATGGCGGTTATGTTGCTTCTGATTTTCATCCTGACTATGTAGGTCTTTCTGGTCTCCACTTTCATTGATGGATGCTGGTGAATGCTCTCCTACTGTTTCCCTTCCTGTAGTTGTACTGTATTCTTCATCATGAAAATGTGAGGAAGAGGACTTTGACTCATTATAACCCGAAGTTGATGCTCTATTACTTAGACGACTTAAAGTGGAAACTGAATGTGAGGTGGATTTCCTATTACTATGCCATGGATGCTTTCCACTACCTTCACCTCCTTGTTCTTTCACTGAGCTGCTGCTCTGAACACTTTGAGATTCTGAAACAAAATGACATTATGTTTGACTCTTCATGATTTCTTGACATGAACATACTATGGTTTATTGCATCCCAAATTAAGAAACATTACTATAAGTTTGCGAGGAGAACATTATAGAGTTGCTCCCAAGCATAGTTAAGATTTAGGATTATCATTGTGCTAAATATTGATGAATAACTTACTTCGAGAAGATTGTACTTCAGCGGGGCTAATTGCAGGAATCATTTCAGCATATGTTACATTACTTGTCCTTGGAGCAGGCGGTTTGAAGTTTTCCTTTACATTTGGTCCTCTTAACTCTTCAACATTGTTATCTTTCGTCATCCTTACGATATTACATGATATGTTCTCCACAATGTACCTCTGGTCATTCTTCATGTGCCTGTCTCAAAGATAATAATGCACAACGTTAAAATCATCAGAGGAAATCCTTTCTAGTGCCTTATCTGTTTTTCTTCCTTCTTTATCCTGGTTTTCAAACTTTAATCTGCACTTCTTTCCAACGTAAATGTGGAGTTATTTGCCTATTTAAGCTTATCATAAATGGTTTGAGGTTGGAGGTTGAGTAAAGATCATAAATTTGAATATGGTACCCTCATTTTGCATCCGAAAAGAAAATGAAAAAAAAAAAAAAAAGAGTTACTATGACCATGTGGTAAAAAATCAATTCATATGATCCATGAAGCTTTGTTAGCGTACAAATTTCCTCCCAGGTTTTTTGTTAAGACACCAGAAAAAATATTACTTGTTAAAACCAGAAATCTACAGTACTTTCCATTTGCAGTAAGCCAGACTTAGCTTTCCACAGTCAAGAATTTAACAAAATCTTGTGTAAGCTTATCTGATTCATGAAACTATTTGTTTTTGTTCTTGTACTCTTTTTAATTCTGTTCAGTAGTTGCCTGTTGTAGGCATCTTTTCATTCAAAGTTCATATGCAACCGTGACATTACTTACCTGTCAAGTACTATCCATGTTGCATGATATCTTTTAGCAGCTTTTAGGGCAATTTCCTTCAAAGGAGAACCTGCTCGCATTTCTATCTGGAATTTTATCTGAGAAAAGTCTGCATACTATCAGCAATTTGATAAACAAATCATACCACATTATTGAGCACTTTAACTAGGATCAATGAGTTTTAACTAACAGTAACAATATGTGAGCATGCTATGAATCCAGTTATGCAGTTCAGTTCAGGGAACAGCACCATTTTTCTTCCGCCATATGCACATAAACCCATCAACTCATCAAGTAAATCTCATACAAGTAGTCGAGGGGAGTCAAATATTTGGAGCAGATGCTTATTAATTCTTCATTTTTCATACAAAGTGCAAACAGAACTGCTCAGGTTCGAAACAAAATCTCTCAGACCGTCAATTGACCTAGTTGTTGGTACTAGAATCTGTTTTGAGCTGTCAAGTTCTAATGTCTTTGCCTTTATTCAGTAGGTAGACAGAATCATAAGAAAATTTCACAAAGATGTTGTTGACAATTTACTTGTGTCCAATGAAAATTTTATTTCTTTATATTAGTGACTAGTTACTACCTATATTCTTGAAGGTCAGATATACAGTTATGCTTTAGCAACATGCATATGCTGAAACTGTAATGGTAATAACTGTGAGATGGAAAAACCATTTCAGGATGTTTTCTTCAGACCTGCTCCTTTTTGCAGTGTTCAGATATTTTCTCTATCAGAGCATTCCCTTGGTACTCTTCTATCTTTCTATCCAATTCTTCTGCAATGATCTTTTTGTTTGTTCCAAACATTGACCTTGGATCCACCTTGATTCTAAACCCCACTGAAAAGGAAAAAGAAAATAAGGAAGATAAGAAAAAGGAGATAGAAAAAACTGAACAAAAGGGCTGTTAGAATAACATTGAATGTGACTCATCCGAATGTTTGTTTATCATTTGCCTTCTTCTTTTCAAGATAAAAGAAGCATGAAATCGTACTGAGTTTTCCAGCACTCGCGAAAGAAAACGTACTAGGATTATTAACCTGGTGAAGAATTCCCAGAAGTATAAGCTTGTCTCCAGACTTAAGTGATAAGCCTTGTAGAGGCCATTTGATTGTGCTTAGACTTAGTTCCCTTGATGCATCCTGGATCACCACCACCACCACCACCTTCTCACCTTCTGCTGTCATGGTCACTACTGTTTTGCAGTGTGATGTTATGATCCAAAGAGCAAACAAAAATGTAGTTGATATAGAAATATTCAAATAGACATAGTTTACTTGAATCAAATGCTTTTTCAGTATCTGCTAAGGAAAAAACTTTTCAGATATAACTCTGGTTGTAATCATTGTTGTTGCAATTGAATTTAAAGCATTTGCTCTCATTAGTTTAAAACTATTGTACAGTGTGCTACATCAGAAACAGGAAATATGAGAAGATTGAAAATGTAACTTCAATAAACAGTTCTTTCACTGCTTCTGTCAGACAATTGAAGAAGATGGTTTAAAGAAAATTGTAGAGGAGAGGTTGGTGTTCAATCCAAGCAAGCATCTGTGGATTAAATACAAGCGCATATTCGAATATCCAAGCCATGGCCATAAAGTTTCTTTCTGTTGTATAGACAAGTTATATTCTTGCATTTGGTTTCACGCATTTGATGTTTTCTATGTTTAATGCAATATATAACTGCTATCTGCTCAATGCTGACTTTCAATAGAAGTCATGGTTATGGATGAAATCAAAGCCATCTAGAAAACTTCTCCAACCCATGGTGACTAGTATTAGCTTTGTCTGTCCCCAACTCTACATGATTATTCAATGTGAAAATACAACTTATGGGAAGCTGGTTTTGAAGCTGTGTGATCATGTACTTCAAATCCTTGATAATATTTAAGTTTTGGTTTGAGACAAAGAGAAAATAATTGTTTAGGTTCTGAAAAACTGAATAAACTTTTGAATCTTGAACAGTTTGATCAGCCTGACAAACTAAACCAATGACCCCTTTGTCTGAAAAGTAAAATACACAAAAAAAAAAAAAAATGTTTTAAGAATTGGAGATTTATCATAATTAATTGGTAGATAAATTCTAGGATTTATTTATTTATAGAAGTTTTAGATTCCTTAATTTGTCTTTACATGAGTGTTTTAACGATCTTAGAATTTATCTCAACTATCCAACCATATACATTAACGACGCGGCATTTAGTTTAATTGGATCGAAAAGTTGCATCTCACGTAACCAAGCTATCGGACAGCTTTAGTTTATATTTTTTAATTAAAAATTGAAAAGAACCTTTCAGTTTTTAATTTTATATTGAATATTCCTTAATTAATATTTTAATTTAATTTTTAAATAAATATGATTAGGGGCCGGTTTCAAGCTTTGTCTATATCACTTTTTTTTTTAATTTAAAATTTAATTCAATTGATTTATATACATGAAGTGATATTTAAAAAATTTAAAATATAAATCTTAACATTTACAATACTTTCAATATTATTAAAAGTGTTCTCATGTTTTGTTTAAATCAAATCTTTTTTCTGAACTCGAAATTTAATTTAGTTAATTCATGCATTCGAAGTTTAGTTTAGTTAGTTCATGCAATCACTTTTAAAATAAAAATAACATCTAACAAATTTAAAATTTAAATTTCAACATCTATAATACTTTCTTTTATCTCCAATAAAAGACGAAAATCATACAATTTAAATTTTTAATAAAAAATAAAAAAAATATTTTATATTTTTTATAACAACACAAATTATCACATATAATTTTTGAATAAAACACAATACTAATACACAAGTCACTACACAAGTCACTGGTGTTTTACAACAAAACAAATATATAAGTTGTAAAATCTACTTTCTATCCTTCTTTTTGGATTTAATCTTAATCACCCATTTTCCTTCCATTTCCTTAGAGGTTTGACGATATAGCAAACCCTTTTTTTTTTTCATTTTTGGATGGAAGATATAGCAAAAAGTTTAAGATGATGCTATATATATATATATACATAATTAGGGAAAGAGCGGGCAGAGCAACCCATGACATTGATAATTTATGAGCAACTGAGAAAATATGGCAACTCCTGAGATTGCCTGTTATTAGCATGGGCTTCTGATTGGCCTGTCAAAGAACTATAATTTACTTGATTGAACCAATATAAAGACAGGAAACGCATAATCTTCAAAAGCAGGCAGGGCGGCACCACACATCTACGGATACATTTGGATGATCAATGAAATTGACTATAGTAAGATTGAAAATAATAATAAAAATTATTGTAACTTCAAATGAAAAAAAAATATATTATATTTGTGATTGTAAAAAAAAATTTTGAATGAAAAATTTATGCTAGATAGATCTAACTAGAGTTCACCGATTCGTTGAATTCAATCGCACTACACCAGAGATGCAATTGAATCCAAACGGACACTACTACGGATGACAGAGAATGAAAATTCAGCACTCTTCCAACAGTTCACACATCCACATTAAACTAAAATTTTAACACTCTACCAACAATTCACACAGTTGCTGCCTAGCTTTTAAACAGTCTTGTGAAGAAATTTCAGCTAAACAGTCCTGTGAAAAATTTTCAGCATTTTAGTAACAGCCCACACAGTTGTTGCCGAGCTTTGAAACAGTCTTGTGAAGAAGGGTCAGAGTACTTATCAATATAATGATGCTAATGACTTATATTTAAAAAAAATAAAACACAAACACATATAAGGTTAACAATGCTACAATGATAAATTAGAGAAATGCATCATGGGTATTGATGCAATATTGCTCCATACAAAATCAATGCAATATTGCTCCAAACAGAATCAATGCATAAGCTACTTTCTGCAAAAACATGAGCTCTTAAAACCTTTATAGCATGACAGAATTCAGAGTATGGGAACCAGGCAAAAAAGCTGGTTTGGTTGCACATATGTTGTAGCTCAAGCAAGTTCCTAGCTTCTAAGGAAAGAATTGAATCCAAATGGGAGACACTAAGACAATTCCCTCGTGAAGATTTATTGCTTCTCAGCTCCAACAGTGTTAATCCGATAACTAAACTGTGTTTTTCTTGTTTCTGAAATTCTCCTTCAGTAATGCAAATTTCTTCTTGCATTGGTTTACAGTCTTCCCAGGAACAGCAGCAGCTACTCGTTCCCATCGCTGACTGGTTTCCTTTGGGAATGTCTTTAGTGCCTGAACTAGTGCTCTTTCTTGTACAGCAGACCACACATCTTGCTCTGAACTTGATGAAGGCCCATTAGTAGAAACCACATCAATAGGATTACTTGCACTTTTACCAGAGTCTTCCTGGCTGACTGTTTTTGCAGAACTGCTCTCAGTCCCTGAATATGCAGAAACTACTACTTCCTCCCTAGTTGAAAGTGGAGACGTAATAGACTGCGCAGGCTTCCTCTTCTCAAGAAAAGAATCGAAAGCTTTGGAAGCATCAGGCTTCTGGAGGAGGACTGTTTTGGTAGCCTTCAAAATTTCTTCCACAGATCTCTCTGTACCAATGTACTCCGAAATAACCTCCCACCTCCGAGATGTACCTTTGGGATATTTCTGCATACCCTTTCTCAAAAGCTCAATCTCTTCCTTGGTCCAAGGTTTCTCTTTCTTCTCAAAACTGCTCAACAGGACACTTCCATTGGACTCCACAGAACCATTCAGCTGCGAGCTGTTCATTTCATCTTGTTTCTTCTCCTCCACATCGCCATTGTATCCTTGTGCATCCCTGATTAATTGAGCCTGCTCTAACCCTTCTTTGTTCTTCATCTTATCACATAAACTTCTAAGCTGGTCAATGCCAAGGGTCATACAAAGACTTTCTACATCATCCTCAGAAAGATCAAGCAAATGCTGGGATAAAGCAGGTGCAGAAAGTGTTCGAAGGCGAGTTCGCTCTTTTCGGAGGAGCTTCTTCTCTTTCTCCTTCATTTTCTTATGCTGTAAAGCAGCTTCAGCAGCTCGTTTCTCCTCCTCTTCTTTCTGGCGTCTCTCCTCTTCAGCAGCCCTAGCAGCTTCTTCCTCCTGCAACTGCTTTGCACGAAACTTGGCTTCTTTTTTCCTCTGTTTCTCAGCTTTCTCCTCTTCTTTTCTCCTAAGTATTCTTGGGTCTCTTTTATAGGCATTGTCAACAAGTGCACGTATTCGAGCATATTCCTCCTTCCTAGCCTTCTCAGATAGTTTTGCATTCTGCCTCTCCATCCACCTTTTATGATCACGAGACTCGGCCTGTTCAAGGTCATACTCATCTGCATGTGGGAATTCCCTCCAGCTTTTAAAACTATACCAAAAATTATAGAAATTATCGACATCTTTTAGTGGAGTACTGTCATCGCCTAAAGATGGGATAGGTTGGTTAACCGACCATCGTCCATTCCTCATGAAAGCTGGACCAAACACCTTGAAGAAGTCTTGCAGGGCACATTCAGTCGGAATTTCATCATCAAACTCATCAGCGGAGTCATAGATTCTTCTCTTTATGGGATCAATCAAAATCTCATATGCTTCTTGAATGGACTTAAAGTGATTCTCTATTTCATCCTTCTTTGCCTGTTTTGCAGCCTCAGTCTCCTCTGCAAGAATAAGCGCCGCAAGTTTGTCAGGATGATGCCTCAAGGCAGCTTCGCGGTAGCTTCTCCTTATCTGATCCTCAGTGGCAAGATATCTTAAATGGCTCAACCCCAGCAAGGCGTAGTGATCCTGTTGCTTGCCATCAGATGCAGATTTCTTTTTTCCTTTGCTGCTATATGAATCAGATGACGGCATATATACTTGCTCCTTATCATTAGTGACATTCCGATCATCAACTTCTGCAGTATCATCATCCTCACAACCAAGGAGTTTAAGAGCAGCATAATGAAAAGCATGGCCAGCAGGTTCATATTTTATAGCCTTAACAGGAAGGCAATTTGAAGAAACATAGAGTGGCTGTCCATCCACAAGCTCCTGAGAATAAGATATAAGTTGAATGCTTGTGTGGACCGCCATAATGTTTATGGTGGACGCACAAAACCAAAAGGGATGACAAATGCCGATACCAATATCCCAGAACGGCTTTACTCTAGTCAGTACCTAGTTCGATAAATTGTGTGACAATCTGCAAAATTGCAACCAGTATGGATCATGTTAAAATGGTTACAACCAATATAAAATGATGCAACTAGCAGATTATTTCATGATAGTTTCTTTGCGAAAAGGCAATATGTGGTTGCCAAAAATACCAAACTGCCTGATCAGAGCTAGCAATACATGATTAAAGTAAATAAATTAGAAAAGGTTAATTATACCCTGTACGCAGATTTTCTTAATTTACCTCTTCATCCCCCAAACACAATCCCCTCTAAACCAAAAGTCATCTAAACCAAAAGTCATCACCAAAGATAGACTCTTGTTCCATCACAAACAAGAAGGAACACTGGAACAATACATTTGCTTTTTATTCTTCTGAAGTATTTATGTCGTTACCTTTTTGTCAATTGAAAAGCCTAGACCAAAAACAATTTCAAGAAAATAAAAAAGATGCTGAAGCAAGGCATGTCTTTTACGAAACTTGTGCAAGAGAGATACTGATACAGACCCAAGAAAGATCGAGATCCAATTCCAGTATTTGCTAATGTTTTATTAATCATTAAATTAGTTTTAAGTTAGTTTAAGTGTTGGTCAAGTGTTTAATTAGCAGAGTAAGTAATGGAGGAGCAGAAACGGATATATCTACATATATATATAAAGACAAATGAATATTGTATTACAGAAGAAAAATTACTCTCTGTGTTTCTTCCTTCTTCTTCTCCTAGAAGATTATCAATTCATCTTGACTATTCTCTATTTTTTTTTTATTCTCTGTTTTTCTTCATCGTTAAGCTTGACAAAAATCTTCTTTTTTGGGCTAAAGAGGTCTTAGTGATTGGTTATTTGATTAACTTAGCAAGTCGTTGTAACTCATTCATTTACTAAATAATCTAAGATTAAACGTGAATAAGCTCATAGGGGAAGAAAATGGAGTGAAACGAACCGTCCCTCCCTTTCCTTCAAAACCCATTTTTCCATCCTTCCAAACAATAAAAAGAAAAATGTTTTAATCAATTCTAATCAAGATTTCACTTCCAACAAACCAAACAATATTAAAATTTCCATTTGAAAAAAAAAAAAACTATAATAACTTTTTGTTACCTTTCCCTTTTCATTTTTTTTTTTTCAAATTCAAACCGTTTCTTCTCATATTTTCTACAATCTAATTTATAAATTTAACTATTTGTTCTATTTCTGGCTTTTCTTTCTTTAGTGGAGTTCGAACACAAAAGGATTGAAAAAGAAATACCCAATACAGGAAGAAAAATATAAAAGAAAAAGAGAGCACAGGAAAATTAAAGTAAATGAGAAAAGGAAAGTATTACCTTGGCTAGCGGTGGCGGCGGCTACAGTGGTTTTGGTGGCTTATTAATTTTTGATCTGAGACTCTGGTACAGATGAGAAAGAAAAGAGCATCTAAATAAAAGTACGTGAGTCGGTTGAGTTTGGAAGAAAACCAGGGCACGCACGCACTTCGGAGCCTTCGGCAAGGCTGGATCCTTTCACTTTGTGCCTTTTTAAACCCAAATTTTAAGCCCAAGTTCAGTCTCTACGATGACGTATGGTCGTGGAAGTTTCATTATCTTCGGAAATTTGATTATCCCTAATCATTTTATCCGACAGATTTTGATAAATATTGAAGATTTTTTTGTATTTATTTTAAGAATTAATATTTATTTATTAATGAAATAAAATTATTTAATTCATTAATAATATATAAAAAAATAATATATAAAATATATAAATTAATAATACATCAAATATAAACTTGATTAAAATTACAATTTTCTTTTGGCCAAGCATAATAATAAGAAAATTACCTTCATAACCTACGATAATTAAGTGTTAATTTTTTTATATTTATAGTATTATTTATTTTAAAATACATTATAGACATTTAGTGTACTTATTTATATCTTTAATAGAAATTAATTTTATTAAACTTGCATGCATTTAATTATTTTAAGAGTGTTCGCTCAAATTTTTATCTTATTCCTAAAAAAAAAAAAAATTTTAAAAACCATTTTTTTATTTGTCCTATCAAAATTATTGATGTAAATTTAAATTGCCTGAAACTATTTGCCTGTTATTATCTTGGGAATACATGAGTTAAAGCAAAATATTAAATGTTACTCCTTTCCTATTATAAGTTATGCCTATTAGTCAAACTTTATTAACTTTGAATATTGATATTTTCAATATTTTATTAAATTAATTTTTATAAAAAATTATAAAACAAAATTTTAACTCACGTATTAAATAAATAATATTAATTATTATTAATTTTATATATCATTTTATTTCAATTATAAAAATTTTTCACCCTTTTAATGATAATTAATCACCCTCCAAAATAATAACCTAATCATTCTCGATTATTCAAATCACCATCACGTAAAATTATTTAATGCTTACCAAATACAATGACTTAATTACCATATTTAAATCACCATAATTTTTAAAATGATCATTTTATATCAAATATTACTTTAATGATAATTGCATTAATTAACTGACCTAAAATTCAATTTTATCCTTATTTTGCAAATTGCAGTTAAATATTAGACAATTAAAGTAATTTACTAACTACAAACATTGATATAATTAGTGGAAAATGGCAATTGCAGACAAAGAACAATACTTCTTTCAATTGTAATTAACTCAAATCAACTTAAAAAGTCCACACCAAGTGGTTGAATGTAAATAAATCATAATTCTGGCATTCATATTAGGGAAATGATGCCTGATGTTAGTGAACATTTGGAGTTTGGATTGTTATAACTTAGTCATACAAATTACAATATCATGTACAACACAGATATGCAGGCATTTATTCAAAGAAAGTGAAGAACAAAGTAACATCAAGAGCATACAAGGATAATTTACATGACTAGTTCCAAGTTAGCCCATCTACCATTCTTCTGCAAGCAAGAATGTTTGTTCTGAAAAGCTTAGACTGCCATCTGCCTGCAATTTCCAAAAATGCATATATACTTGGGTCAGTAGAGCTTTTGCCCAGGATTCTGTTGTCGTTAATATAAATAAGGATAATGTCATGAATGAACCTTGAATTATAATGAAATATTCAATATGATGCCTTAACTTTAAAAACCTCTAATATAGTACCTGCACTATGAATCTCTTAATTAATCTGAAAATTGGATGCTGTTTGTCAGTCACGTATTATCATTTGGAGCTAACAATGATAGAATTGAGTACCAAATTAGTTAACAATGATAGAATTGACTACCAAATTAGTTAATAAATTCATAGTTTAGGTACCTCATTAAAAATTTTTAAAGTTGAAGTACTACATTAAACATTTCACTATAGTTCAAAGGCTATTCATGACATTAACCCTATTTAAAAGCAAATCAAAGACTGGGATCATTAAGCCTGAAAGGGGATGCAAATCTCTAGTCTCTCTACTACGGATGCAGGATTAGAGAGAGCTGCCTCACTTTACGGTCAGCTGTTTTTAATTGAGATCCAAGCCTATGACCAATGCAAGTGATTATTTCTCAGAAAAAAAAGGGGGGAGGGGGGGGGGATCGATTTTAACTCCCTTGCTTGCTCTGAGGTGTGGATAGTTAGTGTTCCCCGGAAATTGCAAAAGATACATCGCAGAACAAGCAACTAGTTTGAAAAATTAAGAATATAAAATGTTAAATTATAGCAAGGAAACATCTTATATACTTATCGTGGTTTACTTGTAGGTATACATTGTAGCAAGAACACAACATATATATAGATCAACAAGAAACATACCACGTGATATGTGCATGTACATGTATATTATCTTGCAAATTCTTAATTGCAAAAAATCAAAAACGAAACAAAGGATAGAAAATTTGTAGATAACGAGGAGAGAAAAAAGCGGACAAGAAAGGAAAATGATTACCTTAGTGTTCCTAACTCTAACTAACTTTGAATCTAAAGAAATTACATTGCGTATTATGGTATTTTAATGCCAGGAGATTACCAATTCAAAGAATGGAGTTGGTCCCTCAACTTTACTAGGTCATATAGATAACAAAATGTATGCTATAAAGTTACCTCTCTTATTGCTGTAATCCCAAAAGGCTGTAGCTTTGAAAACTTCCCTTGGGAATAGAGAAAGTTGTTTGCTTGGTGGGTAACAACTTATTTCCACCATCATCAGTCAATGTCTCAAGACTACATGCATGGCAAAAGGATTCAGCATCTGATTCCTATAAGAACAACAGCACATCTAAATCAGAAGACAAACATCTACAAGACTAAGACTACAAGTAGCTAAAATCTCGTGTAGGAAATTATACCTTCATCATCAAAAGTTTGGACAACTGTTCCAAAGGATATGGGTGAAACTTGTAGCAACAATTATTTATATATGAAACAGCAAGTGCTCGAATCTGTTCAGTTTTTGAAGAGGAAATGAAAATTAAAGACAAAAAAGCACAGCAAATACAATCAATATGTTTCTGTTGTCAGACTTTGTTAGGACAAATAACTAAAAACAAATTGTTATCTCCATAATAAACAGTATATAATCTGTAAAAAGTTAATACTCATAATTAGACGACATATGAAAATTTAAAACAATCATGTCTTTCAGCAAGGAAGTGCAAGGGTCCAGGTAATTAACAGAGAAATTAATGGCAGTGCATGCTGCTAAACCATCTTCAGCAAATTCCATCTCGAATTCAAATGCTTACACATGTGCACACACAACAGCATATTCGTGACAGGGACATATCTCCAAAATAGTGGGATCACACACAACTAATACAGTAAGATAAAGTACAGAGAATTTAAAACTGAAAAAAGGGGGAGGGAAAAAGAATAAGACTAGCAGGAACATGAAGTGACGATGGACTGCTTAACAAGAGAGAGAGACGAGAAGTTCTGATATTCATGAAGAGATCGAAAAGACAGGGAGATCAAGCCTGGCCTAAGTGATTCTAATCAATCTAGCTGCCCCACATTAGAGCAAATGAACAAGGGAAAACATATGATGATGGTGGCTAGAGTCGGAAGCAGGGAAGATAAGGGCAAGAGCATTGAGAAAAATACACTTACATGTAACTCAGGCATAAAACCTGGGTTTTGTCAAGCCACAAGCCTATGACAGATTTTTAAGCCTAATGGGCTGACAAACATTTGTTTTAAATTTCTTTGAAGTTAAAATTTGAAGTCTATTTAGCCAATTTGCAAACTATCTGTAAGATAATAATAAAAAAAATATGACTAATTATATTAAAAAACTCTACAATTCCATAAAAAAATTTTCTATTTTGATTTAATATATCTTTAAAAACTTTTTAGTACATTTCTATTATATTTTTAGTAAATTTAGTATATACATATATTAAATATATTATAATATGTACTTTTTAACTTCCGTATCCCAATTTCTTGACATCTGTCATAACATTGTGTCCATAGAGTATTGAACCACTATACTCAACACTATGGTTGAAAACAATGTCCAAAAAGTCAAAAAGGATAATGCCAAAAAGAAAATGGTTATAAAATAATGAATGTATTTGGTTACCTCATTCACATAAGGCTCAATAACGCAGTATTGTAGATATGATGCCTCAGCAGATACAGTACAGAGAAAGCTCCTATAATTTCCCATCCGGTAAAATCTGTTGAGAAATAACTTGCAATTTGAGACTAGTTTGTGAGAACAATTTTAATATATTGCAACATTGGATAAGCAAAGAGTTCAAAAGTCGTAGGCATCTAAAAAACTTCAAGGTTACCTTAGAACTTGCCGGGCAAAATGCATTTCTTTAGACTTCATTACGATAGGAGGTACACGACAAAACCAAAAAGACAGTGACTCTTCCTGCAAATCCAATTAGTAGCTCAGACCCAACAAGACTGAGATTAAGGATTAAGAGGTATAGACGCACAAAACCAATGAATTATAAAGTTTACCGTCTGTTGTCTCTTAGAATCGAGGTGAAGAAGCACATAAAGTGAACGGAACTCGGCTTCATTCTCATAAATAGAGTTGGAGCTGCGATTAGCTTCATACAGAATATACAGAGATGCCAAAGTCTTTGTAAGCTGCTCCATGTTGAGATATTGCAATGATGACATACTTGAACTGCCACAATTTTGAAGCCTGTGGTGAGATACCACATGAAATTTTACCTGTGTGATGAATAAATAACAACTTGACATGAGAGTAAAGTAACACATGCAATAAAATGCATGTATCAACTTTGGTAAGTAATTCATTGTCGACCACCTCTTCTCTCCCAGTATTTTCATTTTAAAAAAGGATTTGACACAATAGCAAGACTATTCCTTAAAAACTTATTGATCAGATCAATCAAGCCTTACATAAAACTACAACTTATTTGGGCTTTTTCCTTTCCCATTTATCTTTTTGTTTTTATATGCATCAATATGGATGATGAACATCTGACAAAGCAAGGGGCTACTGATTTTTAATGTAAGCTAAATTAATAACACATACAGCAGATAGCATGGTTTCAAAAATTTTACAAAACATATAAACTTTCTATTCTCAAAAAGCCCTTATATTTATCATCCCAAAATATAAATGTTATGGGTAATATTGTAAGTACACATTAAAAACAAATAAATCACTATTCCAAAACTTTTACTTGTTTTAACCCAACATTGTCCTTGAAAACTAAAACTCTTACAACCATGCATATAACAGTGTGTGCTATCATGTCTAGTTTAGATAAATTACTGAATTGAACATTGATAAACCAATCACACACTTGGGTGACCAAAAAGGCGAACTGACTAAAGGATCTCACAGTGCTAAAACCTACATACATACTTCCATTGCAGATTCTATAGCTACAACACCATTGCCTTCTATTAAGCACATTACTTTTACTGATGATGCAAGTGTAATCCTAAAAGTACCAAAATCTGAACAGCCAACTCTACAGAGCAACAAGAAAATTACAGGATAAATAAGTTCAAATTGCCATTCACATTATGTAGCTACTCTGCTGTTACACATGATGCAAGCATAATTATAAAAGTAAACCAAGTTCTGAAATGCCTACTTTACATAGCAACCAGAAAATTACAGGAAGAATGAGTTGAAGCATGGTTAGATGATCACAAGACTTTTCAATCAGATAACAAGTATAACTTTTTAAATTTGTAATGCATTGCAAGTGATAAGAACGAAGTATTATCAATACACATAATATAGTAGTAAATGAATCTGATTTATAGATGAGTAAATCAAGTGGTTTAGGTCTTGTTACCACAACTGAAAAGGTTTAAACAAAAGGCAGATGTTTCTGCCAAGAAAATCGTACCATTTTCTCATACATGTGAATTGCTCTATCATTGACAATATTCTGCATGCTAAGATCCTGCCTTATTGACCGAGTCCTATCAAAAATGAAGTCATGAACCACTTCAAAAGGATGTTCACTAGAGTCCAGTAAGTTTAGAAGGTAGTTTAATGTGTCTTCCAATACTGAGAGAGGCCGCACATCTGACGCTTGGACATACTTAAGTGATATGGTTCTGCAAAACTAGCAGGAGTGAGGGAGTATTAACAGCCTTCTGCATTTGAAAAAAGCATTTATATAGTACCTACTGATAAAATGGGACTAATCATATAATTTAGCTTGCATATTCATCATACATAATTTTCTACATGATTGTGGATTAACGGAAATAAAGGTAGCATATCACGGATGACTCCTACATTGTGGGATCTAGAAATTAACTGTGATGTTCAACTATTGGACACTTCAGAGGCATTATCTCCCCCACCCCACCCACCAATTACTCTCTCTCTCTGTATGTTTGTATGTTGGGGGGGTCCAATATGTGGTTAAATTGTTAACAAATCTTTTAAAGGAAATTCCAAATGCAATTCAAAAGTAATCCAGAAAAAAAAAAAATTGTTCCCTTGTTGCACTAGTGAGGTTATCTACAAGTCAAGATAACTTGAGAGACTAGAATGCATGTATAAGCAAGCGTCTGTTTCGTTTCTCCCTTGTGCTCAAGCATAAACAAGTGGTAAGGCATGGCAAATCGGCCAAATGATGGTTTTTTTTTTTATCCATCACAGCCCATTGGTTAGTTCCCAAACAAGATTTTCGCCCTTTGGCTGCCAACCACATGACCAAATCCTAATTAAAATCCTCAAGCGTTGGGTGGTAAGTATGTTAAAGTGATGCCTGAATGGCAACAATGTGGTGCTCATCAAAAGTCCAATAACATCAGCACTAACAAGCAGTTCCTTCGATTAAAGTGTTGCAGAAATCTAATTTGTTTGAAATATTAACATGAAAGGATTGTCAAATCCAGAAATCAATTTGGCAAAAGAAGAACTACAGAAAGTTACAAAGTTGTGTAAGACTTGCAGCCTACCATAATGCGTATCTGTGTTTATTGTTAAACAATTCGTGAATCATAACTCAATAGACCGACAGGAACATCAAAAAGATACCGATTACAACCAAGTGAAAACATTTCTACCTTGAATACCACCAAAATGTTTAGGTCTTGGTAGATAACATGCATGATTCATTTTCTAGGATCACGTTGATTGCAGATCCATAAAAGTACGTAACAACATAAGGACTGATTACTTTTAGGTAGAACAAATTTGTATCAAGTTTCATCAAGGCCAAATTTACTAAACATGATAAATTCCAACCAAGCTCAAAAGTGAATGCCTAAGAACCTTAATGAATTGCATAGTGAAAACAAAAAGTCAAAATTTTTAAATGCGTGAAAGGACAAAAACCTACCTTTTTGACAGCTAAAGCAGGAGATGTTTTCCTAGGATCTCCATTTAACCTTTCAAAAACAGCTAAATCTCGTTGGCGTTCCCGCTGAGCCCTCTCCCCCTCTGTTATCACAATGATGGAAAGGCTACAAACTACTTAGTTTCATAATTATGTTTGCAAATTGCAGTAGCAAATAAAGCTTCACATTTGCATCCATATCCAAAGGCAACTTCTGCCTTTTCTTTTAACTTCCAGAAACCGAAAATATGCAGCAAAAAGCAATCAAACAAAGTTATAAAAAAAAAAAAATCAAGAAGCAAAAAAAAAAATTATGAAAAATAAAAGGAAAACCCATAATTCAGAACATTAAAACGGTGTCAAATTTGTTAACTTTTTCTTTTCTAATCACAAAATTGGAAAAAAAAAAAAAAAAAGGAAAAGTTACAGCCTTTATTGTTAAATTTTAGAGATGAGAAATAAATAAATGAATAGATTACCAGGGCACATGAAAAGGCAAGTTCCAACTATAGAACCAACATCATCTCCTGCTTCTTTTTCTACTTCTTGTTGCTTATTTGCATTTGTTTCGGATTTCCACTTAGGGACATAGCCGGGATTTTTGGTATTGTCAGGGGTAGTGCCAGTGGTCGTCGTGGAGCGTGGAATAAAGTTTGAGGAGTGAGTGGTTTTGGCAGGATTCGAAGATAATTTTTGGGACCGAGAACGTGTTGGGCCGGTCAGGGAGGAGGAGGGGTGATTTCTCCACTGTTGACGGCGGCGGCCACTGTCGTCCATGGCGTCTATTGGCCACTACCAAAGAATTAGCTTTTCAAGGAATTATCGCTTTCTCACACCTCTGAATGTGGCTCATGATGGGTTGGGTTCAGTTCAGTCAAATCATTTTAGATTGGGTGAATCTCAATACTTAAAATATAATAAAATATTTAATTTATGAATTTTAAAAATATCTGGTATGTGAATTATTTATTTATTAATTAATGTGATTTTAAAAAAATTATTTATATATTATATATTATTATTTAAAATTAATTATGTAAGAAAATATTAACATATTAAATAATAATTTTATAATTTAAATATTATATTAAAAAATTTTAAATTTAAATATTTTATTATAATTTAAAAATTATTTATAACATTAATTTTTTTAAATTTTGTCTTCGTAGTTATCTTTAAATTTAGATTTCTTACAAAAGTATTTTTGGATTTGAATTTTTAGAATTTTATTTTATTTTTATTTTAAATTTGGGTGAAAAAATTATTTAAAGAAATTTTTAATTTTAAATAGATATTATGTTTCCATATGAATCTCTATATCGCTATATTTCATTTAATTTAGGATTAAGAATAAATATAATCGAAATTTCTTTATACATATGTTTCATTATTTAAGATTTTATTTATTTTTTAATTTTTTATTGAATCGAGAAATCAATAGGTTTGATTGTCCATCTTTTTAATATAATCCATATATATTTAATATAATCTTAATATATATATAAAAGACATCCTTTAATTACTTCAAATTAAAACAATTGGATGTCTGATTCGAGTTTATACGACCGATCAATAGAAATACTCTTAACACTCCACCTTTTTGATAAGTTACTAAGATCTTTAATACCTTTACCTTTGTTGGTTCCTGAGCAGCTATGCTTGCAATTGTTGCTGTTTCAGTTTGCATCTGGACATGTGCTTCTTGTCTGCCAAGATCCTTTCTTCGATTAGCTGGATATGAAACGGCTCATCCACGTATCTATTCATATTTTTTTTTAATTATCAGTACATAAAACTTGCGGTAATGAATAAAATTGAGTCGAATCGAATCGATATAGTGAAAAATTCGAATTTGATTCTCAATTCATAATTCGATACTCAATTTAAATTTGATCGAGTTTTATTTTTTAATTCGAATTCGATTCGTAATCGAATTCAAATTACTCGAACTCGTTCGATTAAACTCGAAAATATATAAAAATAAACTCAATTTTTATACTCGATAAAAGCTCGATTATTTATGCTCGAGTTCGAGCTAGAATTCAAGATATTTTATTAATTAAATAATAAAAAATTTTAAATATAAAAACTCGATTAGGCTTGCGAGCTACTTGAGCTGAGTATAAGAATATTCAAACTTGGCTCGAGTTATGAATCGAGCTATTCGAGCTCAAGCTCGACTCGATAATAATCGAACTGAATTCGAATTTTATTCAAATCGAATCCGAATAACTTACGAGTACTAATGTATCATTTATACCTTTAATAATGAGTATATTAGAAGTTGAAAGAAGATAAAATTGTATGGAAAATACTTATTTTTGAGTTGGACAATTTTTTATGGAAATTATATCGGTTTGATTTGAATTGAATTTAGTTTAATTTTTTTAGATATTATATAATATTAAAAAATTTTAAAATTTGATTTAAATTCAAATTGAACTTTCACTCTATCTGAATCGAATCGAATTTTATTGGTTTAGTTTATCGATTTTTAATTTTTATTTTTTTATATAATATTTTAATAATATTAAATAGATTTTGATATAAAATTATTATTTTTTATAAAATTTTAAAATATATATATAAATTAAAAAATATATAAAATTTGTTTCGATTCAATTTAATTTTTTTTATTATTTATTTTTCAATTCAAAATTCGATCTAAACTTAATATATATATTTGATTCTTTTTTGTTTGTGTTTTATTTTTCAGAGCTTATAAAAATTAATTATCTCTTTAAGTTTTTTTTTTTAATTTTCGTAATTTTAATGTTAGTTTTGACACAATCCTTTTAAATAAGAAAAATTTTTATAAAATATGTGTTTAAGAAATTTTTTACGGTAACGGAAAAAAAAAACAAAAGAAAAAAATTTCGTGAAATTTCACAACTAAATCCATGCAACACCATCTAAAGTATAACATACTTTTGGAATTTTTCAAGGTAATTTTAAATTCTATCATGTAGCGCGAGTAATTTTCAATGTAATGTTATTTTAATTATATTTAAATAATTTAAAATTTTCACCTATGGAATAATTATCGATTTTCCACATTTTTATTATCTTAGAATTATGTCAAGTTTTCTTTAACACTTAAAAATCTTTTTTTAATATTTTATATAATTTTTTTACTTTTTAACATTAAAATGTATAAGATATTAATATTATAAAAATGCGAAATGTTATATAAAATATATATTTTAATATTAATATGTGAAAGTGAATATTCTAAAGAAGAAATAATTACTTGTAGTACATTTCAAATCATAAATAACCCAATAATTATGTGATCTATTACTCTATTGTTGAATTCTTAATTTAAGCGATGTGAATTTAATTTATCACAAACTTAAATACCATAAAAAAAATTATAAATAACATGTGTCATCAAAATTAATTAAGGTGTATATTGTTTTTATTCCTAAAACTTTAAAATGTAATTTGCTCGTACCTAAATTCTTGATGATATAATGAATTGTCCTTTCATTGGTGTTTAACTCTAATGTTAAATGCCAACTAGCCACAAGTTTGACATGCGGCAAACACATGGCCATAGACAAGTATAAAAATTATGTTATTTCATTTTTTATTTTAAGTTTTATAAATTTAATATGTTAAAAAGATAAAATAAAATTATAAATAAAGAAAATTGATAAATAAATAATAATTTATATTATAATTTAAATTAATTTTGTAAAAATTAAATAATTTATAAATTATAAAATATTTAATTGACTAATACATAAATAAAAGGAAATTATATGTATTATTTATTTTTTTCTTTTCTTTCTTTCTTTCTTTTCTTTTTCTTTTCTCTTCTTTCTTTCGTTGACTAAAGGCCAGCTAGGGTTATAAATAAACCAAATTGAGTAGAGTACTCCCCTGTTCAAGTATGAACTGAACCAAATTGAGTATTTCCTTGTTCATGTTTAGTTCGATTAGTGATAAATGGGTTTATAAATGAACAAGCTTTTAACGAACTGCACAACATATGTTCAAGCTTGGTTCAACTATTTTAGCCGAATAGAAATGAGCTCTAGCTTTTAAGTCTCAATATTTAAACGTATATCTTATTACAACCCAAAATCGTAGTGCCCACAACTAACTGCTAAATTTGTTAAATGAATAATAAGTAAATGGTGGGAATTTATAGGCATTACCCATCCTTTGTTTTGGTTCTTAAGTGATGTGGAATACATTTGAATATTAACAAAAGTTTAGCGGAGAAAGAAGATGGGAATATGTAGGCTTTACCCATATTTTGTTTTGGTTCTTAACTAATATGGGATTCATTTGTTTATGCATAAATGTGCAATAGTGGAATAGCATAAGAATTTATATGCTTTACCTATCCCTTCTTTTGATTGTTAAATGATGTGGGATTCAAGATGTGTAGTAAAAGAAGATGATGTGAATTTATATAGTTTACCCATCCCTTGTTTTGGTTGTTAAACAATATAGGATTCATTGCATATGTTAACTTTTTAAATGAGATGGTGATCCAAGAAGAGGTAAATTAAATTTTTTTAAAATTCTTTTCCAAAACCAAATTTCAATATAATTAAATGAAAATTAAAATTAATATCAAAATATGATACAAATAATAATAAATTGATGAACTATAAGCAAATATAAACTATAATCAAAATAAAGAGATAGGGATAAAGAAATCAAATATAATGATTTATAAAGATTAAGTCATTCTCTACAAAGCACCTACGTTCTCTCTCTTGATTGTCTACACCAAGGCTTCAATACACTAATTAAAAAAAAACTCTTACAAGATACAAACTTATCTTATACTAAATCTTTATCTTTTTCTTAACACTTTAATAACAACCTTTACACTTATAATATCAAGAAGATACTTTACCTCTTACTTACAAGATAACCCCAATGATTTTTGTAAACTAAAAATACATCTCAAGGTTGATTGTTTGCCTAATGAAGTACAAAAAAAATTGATGAATAAACAACAACAATGATTTGGATACAACAAATATAAAGATATAAACTTTAAAGCTTTAAAAACTCTTGAATTCTTTAAAAGAATAAAAATATAACTTGTTTAATTTTGGTCTCTTTATTTGTCAACATTCTTGGTGTGTTGGAGTGCCTAATTTATAGAAAAAAATGAAGAACTAGCTATTAGGGATGGTTTGGAAGAAGAAATGCCCGTTGAAAGCTTGAAAAAACTAGCCGTTTGAGTATTTCTGGACATAGGAGATTGATCCTTTTTGGTACCAATCGATCCGTTTTTCAGGTGATTGATCCCTTTTTCAATCCTAGAACAAAAAATTCATTCTAGGTAAAAAAACCAATCGATCCTTTTTTAAGGGGATTGATCATGTCCAGCAGGGTGGTTGTCTTTTATTTTATACTTTACTCATTAATTTAATCATATCTTAAGTTATATAAATCCAAATTAAAACCCGTTTGAAGATTTAAAAACTAGACTTAAAGGGTTTTCTGTTCATATAAAATTCATCACCTAATTCTTTGTATATGAATTATATCAAAACTACCCCTTATGCAGTTTTTAAACAACTGTAAAGTGTCTAATAAAAATTTAAAATCTTTTCTTAGAAAATTTGAACTTTGATTTTGTTTGACCCATTAAAAAGTAGACTTAAAGAGCTTTCCAATCATATAAAATTCAAATTTTAAAGCTTTATGAATTAATACATAAAAATAAAACAAGTTCAATATTGGAAAACTTTATTCTTGTAAAATAACTTTCTTAAGTTAATCTATTTCTCAAAACTAATATTATTAAAATTGTATTAATTAAAAAGGAATAAGTTCACTTTAAAAATAACAGTTGGACTTTCATTTAAGCTCAAATAAATAATCTTTAAAGATAGATTTGGT